GGCGGGAGGGAGGGAAGATCAGAGCTTTTTAGCATCAGATCACCAATCTAAGCTTCTCAAATATGAAACATTTCTGCTTTTATCTACATTGTTGACTGTTGGATTAGTAAAAAAAAAAAACCCACCAGGAGCTGTGGAAATGTCTGGTGGGAATTTTAAATCTGTATTCAATATTTGAGCAATAAAGGAATTGAAGATGAAAAGCCTTGTTCGCGATAGCCTCCACATGATGTGCTATGTAACCTGAACTGCAGGGTTTGCTCCTGTGTGCAATCATGACCACATAATAAGACAACATGGCATCAGATGTTGGATTGTATTACTGATGGTACACCTACTGTATTTTGGATTGATTTTTTTTCTATATTTTTCAAATGACAGGATTTTCTCTGGGGAACTGTGATGTACTTTTCACTATTTTCTGCTATTTTACCGACGGAAAAAAAATCAATAAAACGTTGTTAGCTCTCGCCTTGGTTCTTATTATATCCAGTGGATAATGTGCTTGGCTGCAGTGGTTTGATTCAGAGCGGATGCGGGTCTGAATTGACTACATGTGGAACAGACCACCAAGGATTTGTTGCCCAGCAGCCTCCTGCCCCTTTAATCCATCTCTTGCAAGAGCCATGTACAACTGCCACTTTACTTTCAGTGTCTGTCCTCTTCCAAAAATAATGCTTCTGTGCCACACCATATATCCCTGTGTACAAGACTAAAAATATGGACCTACTGCTGCAGGCTGCGGCCAGATGGATGTCTCACAGAGGAGGATTTCGGGACTAACACGGCTCCAGATGAGCTGATGGAGCAGCAGCCAAGAAGACAAACACTTGAATGGCAAACCATCAGTGTGCCGGATCTGATTTGTAAACAAAGACAAAGACTGAAAACCTGAGCAGCAAATGAATAGACTGTTTATTTATTCAATCACATTTAAAAAAAAAATACTAAGACTGCATTAAGATACTGCAGTGACAGTGAAATATACCCATAAATTAAATCGTACAAATTAGGCTGTAATTACTTTTAACAAGAAGAAAAGGGTCGTGTAAACATTAGCGCTGTGGAGACACTCTCATTAGCTTCTTATTCATGCGTGTGATACCTTTGAACTGCATGATTTAGGATCAAGAATGCATTAGTTTAATGCCTCTGAGATTATTTAACATTTAACAGCCCTCTCTTTCGCAGGAAGCCTTTCAACACTGACCTTGATGCAAACAAAAAAAATGAAAAACAGCCACACTGGGAGGTTAATGTACCATGCAATATGTACAATATGCCTTCTGATGAATAGACAGTGGATGCTAAAGCCATTTTAGCAAGTGATTTTTTAGTACTTCGAAAACCAAACAGTCCTTTAACTGAACCGACATGCTGCTCTACTGTAACAGCTCTGACGCAATCTGAACATCCCTTTGAAATATGTTAAATTACACAACAATATGTGAATGCCATGCTCACGAAAAAACAAAAAAAAGTGGTTTGAAAATGCCATCACAGACCAATACGACATGTAGAAAGTCACGTGAAATTTAAGGTTGCAGAAATGATCCAACGAAGTCAAGCAAAAAAATAGTCACGCTACAAAATGTACAATGTGCAAGTAATGCCTGTAATAAAGTACATGTGTCATTAGTGTTAATTATGACTCGTTCCCTTTAGGTCAAGACACAAACTAAGCACTTAGAGTATCTCAAATGGTTTTCAAAGTAAAAAAAAAAACATCATTAAAAAAAACAAAAACAAACTACAACCAACTTGGGTTAGTGATGTGAGGTGCTGCATTGCAGTTAGTCTACATTCACTTCCACAGATTCCCTGAAGGAGAGACCTAGTACATTGCGAGTCCACAGAGGCTTTTGAGGCCACTGAAATACTTTTTTTTCCCTTCTTAATCCATCCATGTGCATTTACACTGTTACTGCTATAAAACGTTCACAAAGCGCTCCATATATTTCAGAGTACATGCTATAATAGACCCCTCACCAAGGCAGCTCTTTAATTGTCAGGTCACACTTCATAATAGCTGAAGACATCCATTTTCAAAGAGCCTAACAAGAAAATTTGAAATACATCAGTAGTACAGTCATTTGACGCCAAGCTCTGTAGCTTCTCAATTTCCTGTTTTGGATTATAGTGCTCAGCAGCAGCGTGAAGCACACTGAACCACTGCAGAGCTGTGCCGACTGCCAGCTGCACGCAGCCGATTCAATTACATCCGCAACGCTGGCGTTTTTAAACCAAGTTGTAGATGTCCAGGTTGGTGTGCAAGATGTGGTCTTTTACCGCGCAGAAGACAAACCGAATGTTGTCCGTGTCTGTGGCACACGTGAAGTGGGAGTAGATGATTTTTTTCTCACTTGGATTGAGACTGACAAACATGTCTAAGATGAAATCTTTTCCTGCGTCGACATCCCGCTGGGGACCTGGTTGGAAGGAAGTAGAGGGCAAAAACTGCACATTAAAGTCACTAGTACTTTCAGGAGTTACATAAAAGCTCAAGAAGGTGACATGGGAATGGGTGCAGAGAAAGAAATAGAACAATCTGAATTTATAAGCCCTGAAATACAACTTTTATCAACTAAATACATGCTGGTACACTTGGTGTGGCATAACTAGTAGCTTATAGCAGCTAACATCAGCTGTTCATCACATCAGACCAAGTAGCTGCTTATGAGCTAAACTTCTGATCTGTTAGAAGAAGTTTGTGCCATTTTCTTTTCTCTAAAAAAAATGCACTGAATGAATGAAAAAAGTAAAATGCTCAGTGAAGCCATCCGAATCGCTTACCATCATACTCAGGGAAGTAGTCGACCAGGTGTGAATACATGATTTTTTCCTCCAGTAAGTCGATCTTGTTGAGGAACAAGATGATGGAGGAGTCTTTGAACCACTTGTAGGTTATGATCGTCTTGAACAAGGCCATGCTTTCCTCCATGCGATTCTTCAGGAAACACACAAACACGAGCAGCAACATGAGACAAGACATATTGTTAGACAGCAGTACTTCAGCAGCGATTGTCTGCGCGAGCAAATTCAATTGGCTGTAATCTCATCAAGTGAACAAGTCTTTGCTGAGAGGCGCCCTTTGCCGAACAGAGCGACTAAAGAGCTCCCCCTGCAGGTCAACTGGACGCACTGCCGCAAAGGAGCCGAGAGACGATCAGCGTGACCAGAGAGGGAGAAAGAGAGAGGAAAACAGAGAGACAAAAAGAGAGAGGGAGACAGCAGACTAGTGCTGGACTCTCTAGAAATCTAGGTCATCATTTCCACCTAACAGGTTTGGCCTTAAACAGAGGAAACAATGTCCCTTTGTGTCCTTCTCTGTGATTTTTATGATTATCCCGCTGTGAGCCCCTTTTCTCCCGCCGTGTGCAGAATAACAAGACATATAGGGGCAGATGAGATTGTTATTTTGTGGGCAGCAGCCTGCTTCTCACCTCATTGGCGGATTCAATGAGGACCTGATCGTACTCGCTGAGTGCCACCAGGAACATGATGGAAGTGACATTCTCGAAACAGTGGATCCACTTCCTCCTCTCGGAACGCTGGCCGCCCACATCCACCATCCTGCAGCCACAGGTTTTCATTGACGGGGGGGAAAAAAAATTCATCATATTAGCCGACCGCACACACAGCCCTGCTAAGTCGATTACATAAATGATTTAATTTCTTAATAACGGTGATGTGACAAGAGATTTTTGAGAAGTGATGAGGATGTGATGACTCAACGGGCACTGAGCTGAGCAGCCAGTCTATGTATTTGTTCAGTTACTGTACTGCAGCATTTCACGACCACATGGCATCTAATATCACTCTATAGACCTAACGCAGAGTTTTATTTCTTTAACCCTCTGAACTCCAAGGAGTTTTTTTTTGCTACTGTCATATTTTTACTCACTGTCGGCTCATTTTAGAAGGCAAAATAAAGTCCTGCACCTTTGTAGAAACAGTGCAACCATAGATAGAAGCAGAGAGAACGAAAAAATGTCTCATATGCAATGCAACAAAGGTATATTGTCCTAAATCAAAATGTAAGTAGTTTTTTTTAATCATTTATTTTTTATAAAAACCAGTGTTGCCAGTATTGGGGAAAAAAATTGTTGCTGAACATATTACAGATGCTTTAATACTTATATGTTATCTTTTTTCACATACTTGTCTCCAATCTGCATTCTGTAAACACAGTCTAACAGTTTAGCCCAGTTCAGCTGGATAATCTGAAGTTTTGTCATGTGACTGACACAGTTATGGCTTCTTAGCTGCTCTGAGGAATGCAGAATTTTTTTTAGCTTTTTTACAAAATCTTTCAATGGCACACAAAGTTATTTTTGATGATATAACATCATTTTTAATTCTGGTTAATTTTCCAAACAGAACAGCACATTACATGTGGTTAGGTGAAGCACTGCCAGAAAGTTGAACATATGTTTCTTTTTAGATTTTTCTTTTATTTATTTTTTTTACAGGTTTTTACTCTGATAAATAGTGTAATTTTGTTAATTTTTAAAAAGACAACACTTGTGCAGGTTCTGAGGTTCAGAGATTTAAATCACTGTTCAGTATTGAGCACTGAGAGGATGTCATGTTTTTACAAACTTCCCATGATGCCAGCGTTTACCTTTACGCCATCAAGGTTAAATTCTCTGTATTTAAGCCCACAATAACTTCTGCACTTCAAAATGTAATGCTGAATGTTTTGCAACCAAGTGAATCTAATGAATTATCACAGAAAATGATTAGAGAATTAATAAAAAAAAAAACAAAACACTACTTCCAACTGAACAGAACAACTCTGTGGACCTCCCACAGTGAATTCTCAAATCAGGTCCAGCTGTGCTCAGAAGATATAATGGGTATAATAGCTTCCAGCTCGTTCCTCCATAATGATCCTCCAACAGGAAAAAACAAGGCTACAGCCACATTAGTGACTCTGCTTGTGCTCTGAGGCTTGTGCTTTGAGCTAAATGCTAACATGAGCATGCTAATGTGCCAATGGACACCATGTTTGTCTTGTTCACCATGTTAGCTTCCTAACAATTAGTAGCACTGAGTCCACTATCTAGTCTATGCTGAGGGGACCAGATAGTTGTTCTACAAAACAAAGATAGTGCACAAAACAACACAAATGCAACCTTATGTTTGTGCAGGAGATGACGTCTGGGATTACTCTGGTTGAAACATGCCCAGTGGTTGAGAAGTAATCTGATCAAATCTCAGCAACCAGATTGCAACAAATCTTAAAAATATATTTTTCAAAAGAAAGAAAGGTGAAGAAATCAGTTGAGATCAACAAATCCAGTCTTGGTTTTGATCTGGATCAAACTTTCAGTGTTTGCTGTTCAGAACTTTTCAGCAGGTTGGATTACCTGTGATCCAAAATAAGCAGGATTATCCTGATTCCAGCAGAGTGGTGGATTCAGGATGGATTTCAGAGGCACTTGTAGTACAGATCTGGTAATCTTGAAAGGTTTATATCTGAATCAGGGCTATCCAATCCAATGCCACTTAGAAATATCAGCATATAAATGGATGGATTACCTGATCCTGAATAGCGAAACACAGGATTTGCTAATTCAGATTATTCTGATCCAGTGGGACCTGGGGACCATGAATATCTTGTTGGGTGAATTAAGCCTTTGTTCCAGTGTTGCACAGTCAGTAGGACAATTTTGTTTACAAGCAATTTTCTATTGATGAAGCATCTTGATTTGTCAGGTGTTAAGTTCACATTTAGAACATTTAGAACAGACTTTTTGTAGTTATTTGGAAGTGACCACACTCATGCGCCCAGGCGACCTCTCTGCATCGTGACACTAGAAGGTTCCTACAGATTGGCCACCAAAGCAGACTCCTTTAATTTTAGGACTACTGGCATTTTGGGGCATTTTTTGTGCCTGGACAGACAAGAAGCATAGGAAAAGACAGCGAGGGAATCGAACCAGAGACTTAATGCTCAAGCAATCACATCCATGTGGCACACTAACCACTCGGCTATTGGATCGCCCCCGCAGACATTTTATTTCTAATGGGATCACGGACTTCCGTCTCTCTGGAGTTTACATCGTTATGTCTCTGTGCAAGTGATGCAAAAGACACTTTGAAATCTGATTTGAGCTGCGACGCATCTGTTTGAAATCTGACTGGAATTGAATTTTAAACCACCAATGTCATTTAGATCTCATTTCCAGAATCCCATTTCATTTTTTGTTTTGTTTTTGCTGTCCAGACTTTCAAAAATCTGTCTGAATACAATCTAGATACGGCAAAAGACAGATTTGGCTTTTAATAATAAACACTTGATCAACTGAATTTCTAGAAAACATTATTTTATACAGTATGACCACCATGACCACAACATTTTTTTCTGTGTTGGTGTTTTCTCTGTTTCTTCAACGGAACCACTCACCTGAACACGACACTCTCCAGGTCGAAGGGGTACTCTATTATACCTGTTGTGGGCACCCTCACCCTCAGGACATCTTGCTGGGTTGGCAGATAAGCGGGTTCGGAAATTCGTTCCAAGTCATTGAGATAGCTGACAGCAGAGAAGAATAATGCCCAGTTAGGAGGTAAAATCAAAACCACTTAGACAGACTTCTGAAGAAGCAGGAGACAGATCGAGGGGAGACATTTACTGTAAAATAGTCAGGACGGATGTTTCGGTTTCAGCCACGTCACTGTCATTAATTATTTACAGAGAATTTAAATGGTGTTTCTTTGCTTTGAAGCCTTTTGTCAACAACCTTAAATGGAATAACCTCAGCGTTCGGGCCGCATTAAAGGCACAACTGGCAGATGAAACGCTGGAAACTATTTGTGTGCGGAGTGATTGGTCGCTGTTTACACTCACTATTTAGCTGAGTCGGAGAGCTGGTATTCCCTCTTTCGATTGTAACATTCCTGAATGCCCGGATCGCTCCACAGGCTCTTCAAGGCGTCCACGTACGGGTTTTTTAAGGTTGTAACCTTTTCCACATCAACCTTACTGACAATACTGGCGTTGGCCTGAAGAACAGAAAGACACACTGGAGTTAATGACACGACACTGCTGAAGAGTGATTCATAGGACCGTGAGCTCATGTTTATGGATCACATAATGCTAAACAGAGTTCAAATGCTGCTATGTCATCTTGGAATCCTCCATCTCCATCTCAGTGTCACGTGTTTCTGATTAATAATTGATCTTTCCCTGACTGCACATCCCATTACTGCACTGTGGACCCACAGTAAAAGCGTTCAGCCAGAAAAAACACTTATGCACAAGCTGCTTGGAGTGCCTTAATGGTCATTTATGGCTGAACTATTACAGTCTGTTTACTCTCAGTTACTGCTGCCTGAAACTTCAGCGAGCTCACACGGGAGGTGTAACTTATCCAGCAGTCTCGTTGTACAAGATGCTATGGCAAACAATTTGCTGATGGGCAGCTGTGTTTGATGTTCTGATGGGTTTTTCTACTGCTACAGTCATAAAGGGCCCAATGTGAGGCTGTGACTTTACTAATGTCCACAAGCTGCGATTCTTTGGGAAATTCCAGTGTTATGAAACACGTGTTTGCACACTGTAAATGGGCTGAACCAGCTGACTGCATTGCTTTCGACTCCACTGAAGGCAGTGCTATTAAAGAGCTGTTTGAGTCATATGTCTTCCCATTAGGTAGAATTACTAAGAGGTGATTTTCCTGTTTTTTTTTTTTTACAGGCTTACTGGCAGTGCTATCCCTCCCTGTATATGTACATGGCTCCTGCTTTGGGAGACGATTAAAGGGAATCCCTTGAAACTTCTGTGCCAGCCTCTGCTTTTGTAGCTACAGTTTACTTTGAAAATCTTAGCAATTCTCTAGATTGTGGATGAAACAGAACATTTGAGGGCATCCTCTTGAGCTTTGGGAATCACAGATGGACATTTTCTGACAATATACAGAGCAAACAACTAATCGATTAATTGCGAAAAGTAACTGACAGATTAGTCAACAAAAAAAAATTAGTTGCAGCCCTGCCTTCTGTTCAAACTGTTCAGTCATTTTGAAAACAGTGCATCCTTAATGTCAGACAGAGATGCACGAAGCAGGTTTCTCACTTCCGTTTTGGGGAATGTAAACTTCCACAGCTGAAATGACAACTGTTGATTTCATCAGCTAGCGGCAGATAGTTCAGATAAATTCAGCTCCACCATTTGGTTCAAAAACACTGTAGATTTTTCGTAATCTTTTCAGTAAGTTTGCAGCTAACCTGTTGATTATTTCTGGATGAACTTATTAGCTGTTTGGTCTTGAACATGTTTTGTCCACAACCCAAAGTTTTCAGGTTACTGTCATACAGGAGTAAAGGAACCAGGGAATACTGAAGGAAATGAATCAGACAATTTTGACTTCTTTTAACTATCAAAACAGTTACTGATTATTTATTTGTTGTCAAAATTTAGTCAGAACTTCTCTGGTTTCCAGCTAATCATTGTTCCTCTATCCGGTATAGAACTAGCTCGCCAAAGTATCATTAGTGTGACAATACAGTATCAGGAAAATACCACATCCTTATTTCATTTCAAAGTGACAACCTAAAAGACTGTTGTTTTGCTCTTTTTGGCAGCACCAATGTTGGTAAGTCGTATCTGCGGCTGTGTTTTTGAACCTCACTTTGCAGAGATCCAAACAGTGCGCCACGCCTTTATAACAATTTAAGATAATAACACATGAAAGCAAAAAGAGAGTTCAATCTCCTGAGACGAGGAAAAAACAGCAGAGTATAAAACAATACGGAGCTTCACACACGGGTGAGTTGCAGATCGAGTCTGTCTGGTTAGCTCCACCTCTGCTCTCTGGCAGAAAGACAGCTGCAGAGTGAAGAAACACTCATCACTAACCGTGGTTGTCTTGATATTACCACAGAAACCCAGTTCACAGGGACTTTCATATAATTTCATCAGCGGGTAATAGGCTCAGTCACCTATTGTACCTCAGTTGACAATAGATGGTAACAGATATTTATTTAAACACAAATCTTTGAGATTGTCACTGTAGAATAAACAGCATGTGTCGCTTTTAACATTGCATAGGAAATTTAGAACAAGGACTAACAATGTTATTTGGTGAGCAGAGCCCAGTTTTGCTAGATGGCCAACTTCCCCAAACACAACCAAAAAACTTCTAAAAAGCAGGATGTAGTTGCCCTCAGTGAGGTAATGATGTGCTCTTTGACATTAAAAGTAGAAGTGTTTCTTTCGGTAGTAAGATAGCTGACCAGGAATGCTTCAATCTTAGAGCGTTTAAACAGAATTTAATCAATTCTGTACAATTTTGCACGTGTGTTTTTTACAATAAGCAGAGCTGCAACTGATGAATATTTTTATTGTTGATCAATCTCTCGATTATTTTCGTTGTTTGGTCTATTAAATGTCTGAAACTAGTAAAAAAGTATGGATCAGCATGTGAACTGTTTTGCCCACAATCCAAAGATATTCAGTTTACAACCATAAAGGAGGAAAAAGAAATCAGAAAACAGAAACACTTACGAAGTGACAATCATCAAATTTTAACTTTTTTCTTCAACTATGAGGTCAAACCATATGATCAGTTGTCAGAATAGTTGATGATTAATTCAATAGTTGAAAATTGTTTCAGTTTTGTGCTATAGTCCAGTGCACACAGCTTATGCAGGTGGAAAACCCCGACGCTCGACATGCCTGCAATACGTCGTAGCGGTTGCACGGCTATGATTGAACCATCACCGTTCAGGGTTTAGTGAATGACGTAATGGCTGAAATCACCCTATTGTGTCCTTATTCATTACTCCCTATGTACTCAATAGTTACTTAACGGTGAGCAGCATCATGAGGTTTCAGACTCTCCGCAGAGCAGAAAGTAGTGTACATGTACAGTACTTGAAGGCCCAACATTATGGATAAGTACATGCACTCGGTTCCGGCAGTCATTGGCTTTCTTGACCTGCAGCCACTCTGAGCATTAATATCTGCTTGGAGAGTTACAAACAATGCCATTCTGGAGCTTCCACAGAGCACAAACTTCACCCACAGAAAGAAAACACTGTAACCCACATGCTCACTCAGACTTGGTTAATACTGACAGAAGTCCAGCCCCCCTCGCCAGACTCTGTTCCTAACCAGGAACTCAAACTGCTGCAGGATACTGGCGTGAGCCAGCAAAAATTTGTGTGATTAATAAGCTCCTGGTGTTGGTATGACAGTGGCGGATTCCTTGTGGTGTCTCACTTGCACTTGGCGAGGGAGTACTTGCCTTTACATGCCTGCAGAGTAACATAATGTGTACTTCACAATGACAGCCTGCTCCGTATCTAGACAAAACTATCTGGCAGCAGGATTTCAAAACTAAACACTGTCGCAAATTACCAGAAGTACTTCACCCTGATGACACGGTGATACACACTGCAGGCGCTGTCAGAGGCTGTGAAGCTTGCACACGTTTCTGTGCGGTAAAACCTCTTTCTCAATTTGTCTAAATGAGGCAGCAAAGGAAGGAATCGGAGACAAGTGTCTGGCCTACCTTGTTGTGTTCATACTTGTAGGGGATCTGCAGTGCGTTCATAGCCTGGATCATGGCCTGCATGGCAGTGAAGATGTTCTGGTAGACCAGCCTGGTGAAGCCTCTTTTGTCCTCATCAGAGTACCCACGGCCATGGATGATCCTCATCTGCTTGATGAAAGTGCTTTTCCCACTTTCACCAGTTCCTGGCCATTGACAGATACACAACAGTCAACACACACAAATGGACCTGAAGGATGAAGGTAACATATTCTATTATTTTATATCGTTAAATCACCTTAAAAGCCCAAAATCATTGCTGCTTTTGTGCGTCTCTCAGTGACTTCCCTCCTCTGTATGAGCCACAAACTCATATATTATTAAATGTTTATTACTGGTGCATTATTGTGTTGGTGTAATGTTACTGCTGTAACTGGTGAGGGTGGAGATAAATATTTCAGGTTAATCTGCAAGAATGAATCAGCATTTTTTTTTTAACAGATCACATGCTGTTTGTAAGATCTTAATCTGTGAAATAACTAGACACACCAGGTAGATAAATACATGAGCGCAGCATCATCTTGGGAGGCCACATTTTATTTGTGCTACTCGATAAGGACGCATCAACAATCCTGTGAGTAAGTTTAAGGTGAAACAAGGTCGCACTGGTTATTCTGCTTACAAAAAAAGCTGACTCATGCTAAATGTATCACCACGTTTTGAGGTTCACTAGTCAGCACTGCCTACCTCTGAAGAAGCCTTAGATCGACTACACTTCAGATCGAGGCTAGCTTTGTGTACACAGCTTAAAAAACTCCTTTGCTCGTGTGGCTTGCTTTTTCTTTCACTTCTGCATCCAGTGTCATTTCAGCGTTGTCAGCTACACGGGGAAATGCTGCAACTTCTTCTAGTTCAGCTTTTATATATCTGATACAGGGATTCAGCAGTGAGATGACAAAACACTGTTTGTAACACTTGACTCAAAGAATATACATAAGACCAATAGCACTTAAGGATAACCCAGACTAAAGCGACTGAAGCAAGTCCAGGATTACATAAGCGCGAGGACAGAATACAGACATAGCTTGTGCTTTGTTTGATATAAACAACAGGCAGACTTTGGGAGTGAGGCTGGTGATATAACCCCATAAGGACCCCATTATCTTCTGTGTACAGACTATCTCACGTTGTTTATACCTCCGAGCCATAGACCCCCAATGGTGTCCGACCAGACTACAGTCAAAAGCCAGACTGGTGGCATGAAAGATGGACGTAGCCTACACATCTGAAAAAGTGAGGCCAATGTGGAAGTGACTTCAGCATGCGATCTTGCTAATGCCCAGCAGGGGGCGACTCCTCTGGTTGCAGGAAATGACCAAACTACTTCTCACTTGATTTATTACCTCGATGAACACTTTCCTAATCAGTTCATGGTCTCGATCCTTAGTTTTGAGTCTTATTCAATATAGCATGATGTTTATTTTGTACATTATGGTCCCATTTAGAGTAAAACAGACAATGAAGCAAAGCCTGCTGCAGGGCGTGGCCACTTTGTGATTGACAGTTTGCTATCACCATATATGGTGTCCATTTTGAAATGATGGAGCTTAAGCACAAAAATATCCAAAAAACTGAAGACAGTCTGAAAAATGAACAGAAATATAAGTTGCAGGACTCGCAGGAGGATTTTTTTCTGACTCTTCAGAGGGGTCCAGCCCTGAAGCAGGAAACTGCTGGACTAAACAACCAAACAAGATATAAAGCAGATAGAAGCAGCTCCACCTCGACTAGAGGCAGCAGCAAAACTCTGTTTACACACTGATGCATTGGTATTTACAATCCAATACTTCACAATAATGATCCATAATAAATTCTGCTACGGGGGTCATTTGTTTTGAAGCAGAATGTCTACTCTTAATACGTTTAAGACTTCTCATACTTGTTTATTTGTACTTATGTAAGATCTTGAAATAAGAATTTGTACTGGAGTATTTTTACACTTTTGTCTGAGAACCACATCTGAACACTTCTTACTTCACTATTTATAAAACATAAACTGCTTCTGTTCAACCACGAATGCATCATCACATACTCAAGCACTTTCAAGGGTGGTAACATCTATGTTTAGACAAGTTGCGCCAGCTAATTTATAGTAAACAGCGGTAAGCAACTATGTAAATGTACTCAAAATACCGCAAGCATTCTCTCAGTCTACAATAATGCAATGTCAGTGGTGAAAAAACGAACTGTCTGCATAATTGTGTGTCGAGATTAAAAAACTATTAATTGAAGTGTGGATGAGAAGCCAGTGAGTGCTTGTGGAGAGTTCTCTATTTGCTCAGTCTGAGCTCACAGGCAGGAAAAAAAAAAAAACGAGTTTAATGGCTTTGAAAGTAAAGGATGAGATCAGACTACTTTGAGTTCACAGAGAGCCCTTTGGTTTCTTTGCCTGAGATCAAAAAGCGGCGCAAAAGTTGGGAAAATCATTTTACAGGTTGATAAGATCTCTCTTGAGGCTAATTTGAGATTTTGTGCATTTTTTCGGTCTGGAGAAGTCTCCTTTTGGTTTCACACAGTTGTCTAGGAGGATAGATTAAACAATCTGAGAGCTCTTTTCTAAATGTGTTTTCTTCTGGGTGAGCACAGTTTTGAGATAATTGTGGGTTTTTTATGTTTAAATTTCTTGCTAGCTTATCCTTATACTCTTCTAATTCATACATTAAGATTTCAGGCAAAACAGTAGGATAATAATCATCTCATGGAGGTATGTTTTGTAATATTCAACAGTATAAAAAAGATTTTAAATGAGCTCTAACAGCAGCATGATGGACACGTAGATGTTGTTTCATTATATTAACAATCCAGTGATGCAAAATATGAAATTTAATGCTCAGAGAGGAAGTTTGGCTTTCACTTTCAGTACTTTAAGAACATTTTGTTTGTAATTTAACACACTCTTACCTCGGTAGCCTAACACTGGATGCAAGACTATTTTTTTTAAAGTGGGACGCTGCAACGTTTACTTGAGTAGAAGCCCTGAATACAGTTTTAAAATCTGACTATATTCCATTTTTTTTCCTTTACATGTTGTCGCAAAATTTTTTAAATACTTGTTTTTGAATATATTTACATTTTTGCTCAGAATTTACAGAATATAAGCTCAGACGCTCCGAGAGCAACTTTGGCGTAAGAAGAGCTTTTACTTTCAGTAATGAGAGAATTCAGGATGAGATTAAACTTGATTAATCCCGACGGAAAGAAGTCTTTTAGCAGATATTCCTCGGGGAACAAAATGACAGAAGATGAGCATGCAGTAGCTGATAGAACAACCAGGAAGATGTACACTATAGTAATAATAATGAATTCAATATAATACATTTCTGGAAAAAAAAAAAAGACTGGAAAAGAAGATCATACTGGCATTGATTCTGAACAATACTACAAATGAAAAATTAAAGATGGCACATTGCATTAACATGAAAAATAAATATTACAGAAGAAATGGGCATTTTGTTTGTATATATTCTTACATAAGCAGCCTAACATTGCTTTTATCATATGTTTTAGTAGGATGCTGCAACTTCTACTTAAGTAGAAGACCTGAATATTTACTTCCAAGTGTGATTACAGCCTACTTCATCTTTTTCATGTTTTCATTTCCCTTATCTTTAGTCTTTTTGAATTAGTTTAGCTCATTATTCAACCATACTGTGCACCCTCTTCAACTTCTCTCTTCATTTATGATGCGTTCACTGTCACTCCACTGTGTCTTCTACGTGTTCTAATGGGTATTTCTCCGCCTGTGGAGCCCTTTCAGTGACCTCTGTGAGTGATAAGGTGCTTTATTAATAATCCTACCAGCCTGTTTCCGACGGACGGGGGGGGTCTTACCGAGCAGCAGCAGCTTATATTCCCGGCGGGAGTCCCTCTTGTCCCGGCGGAGCTGCCTCTCAATCTCATCGTTGATCCTGCGAGCCTCCTTGGCCTCCGGGCTGAGGCAGCAAGCCCCCACGGAGCTCAGAGTCATTACTCCCGGGTAACACTTCACCTTCCCCGGCAAACACACACACATAATGTCGGTTAAACGAGAAAAGAAAAAAAAAAGTCACTATATTACAGTTAGAGGAGCTACAGCGCGCCGCCAAGCTGGACCCTCCGAAGCTGGAAACAAGATTTAGTATTAATTTAAGGAAGTAAAGTCTCTCAAGGTTGCTCGTATTACCTTGTTCCTCTCCAGTAAAGAGGAAATTAAGTTTGTGAAACAACTTTAGCGGCGAGTCTTCAACTCCTGGCGGCGGAGCTCCGGGCGTGGTGGGCTGAATATGGCGGAGTTTTGTTTGTTTGGTTGTTTTTGTTGTTGTTGTTTTCTTTTACTTCACGGCGCTGCAAAGTGACACCAAGTTGGTAAAAGTCATCCTCCGGGAGCAGAGAGAAGGAGTCGCTGAGACAGAGTTGGTGGCCGAGCTGGAAGTGGAGCCAGTGTTTTCCTGCTCCGTCGGTCCGGCCAGCAGCGACCATGTGACGGAGGGCTGAGCCGTGATGGGAAACGTGTGGGCTCTCACTATTACATTATGGGAACATGTTTCCTGTGTTAACCAGCAGACTGCGGATGTATGTGACAGTTAGAGCAGCAGCGCTGACACGCTTCACCTTCCCTTGGAAACCACAGAAACCAGCTCCGAAGGTACAATAAACAGAAGTAAGTACACCTCTCTGTGCAGAATCACACGTCAAGTGATTCAAAGTCCAAACACCTCCCAATACCTGCTTTATTTCTAAGTCCACTGGTGGAGTGTTTCCTCCTGTGAGAGATTAGAAACAAATATTTTAGAAAGATTGTATTAAAAAATACAGGTCTTAACCTCTTAAGTCCTGGCATCCTTATGCGTGGACATCACATTTTGGATTTTATTTCCACAATAGTTAATTATTTTTTTATTTAGTTTTTATTATTATTTTTCTTTGTTTTTTTATTTTTAAATTTTTTTTCTATTTAAAAAAAATCTTCACATATTTTTTAAAATATATATTTATTTTCTTAATATTTTTTATTTTTTATTCTCATTGCTATTTTTTTAATTAATTTTTTTAATATATATTTTTGGGTCTCTATTTTTGCTTTTATGTAGAGCAGTAGAGATAGACAGGAAAAGGGGGAGAAGAATGGGGATAGACCTGCAGCAAAGGGTCGTGAGCAGGATTTGAACCCACAACCACTTGGTCAGGGAACTGTAGCCCGCTTATGGGTCGCCCACTCAACTAGCTATAGAGGCACCCTCTCTTTGCTATTTGATCAGATCAAATGCTTATCAAACAATAGCTTAGGTCTTCAGAGGTTAAAGCAGAAACTCCAATTAAACATTATGTCGTTGGACCTATGTCCTGTCTCTGTCTGCATGTGTGCTAGATGGATCCACATGCAACAAGAACTGACAGAGGAATTCAAAAATCTGATTGAGAGACTTTGCAAACATGCAAAAGCACACAGAAAAATCAATCAAACACCAGTGGAAACACTTGCAGCACTCTATAGATGCAGAGCCACAGCACCACTAATCGGTGCTGGTCCTCCTCAAATGATGCGTGCCTTCACAGTCTGTAACTGAAAAACAGACCTCCTCATGTTTCCTACTTGACATCGGGGTTATCATGAAAAACCAGCATATCTACGACAGTCTAGACCATGTGTCAATCTCTATGGACGGTGTCCAAGGAAAACACCCGTTTGTGGTTTGATACATAACTGAAAGATTAAACTTTGCTACAGGGCATGAAAAGAAGCCTGACAAATATCAAGAGACATTTCTTTGCACAGCTGAGACAAAGATTCTTTTTTTTTTTTTTTGGCTCAGATGGGGTCCAACATGTCTGGTGTGAAGCTGCCTGGGACGACCACAGTGAATGCATCGTCCCAACAGTGAAGCAGAGGTGGGAAGTGTGATGACGTGGGGCTGCATGAGTGCAAAAGGTGTTGGGGAGATGACATTTATACGAATGCCTGTTGATAAACCAAAACACTGAATGACAAGATGACTGTAGAAGTTTGGTAGAAGAGGAACATTCTGGCACGATAATGATCCAAGTCATCAGTGTGTCATCAAAGTAATGGTGGACATACAAAGTGTTTAAAAAAAAAAAAAAGATTGAATATCAGTAATGATGTGTACTGCCTTTTGTTGCTGTACGTTCCTACTATGGGGCTTATATTTTTAATAAAGCAAATCTAAAATGTTTGTTTTGAGTTTTCAATTAGGATGAATACCATTTAACATAGAAGTAATGCAGTAACTGTAAGGTCATAGAATTTTAAATCATTAGACATTTAGGTGACACTGCACAGGGGCATACTCTGTCGTACGCTGCATGAAACGAGCACACACTTTGTGAACTGTGACACAGACTTTATTTACTAAACACCTGCATTTACTACAGATATCAGACACAGAGATACAGAAATCACCACTCATGGACTCACAAAGCTCTTCACATCAAACTGCGTCTTCAGAGATCGTTTCAAAAAACTTTAAAAAGGCTTATGAAGGGTCAAAAATAATGCACGCGTAAATGCATCCGACGGATCAGATGTTAAGGTTGCATTACGGCGAGTCCATCCTTGTGAGTGGTAGAAAATAAATCTGTGGAAAGAGAACAAAAGAATACCAAACCCATCTTTTGGCCCCATATTCTTCCATGAAATTATTAAGCAGTCTGGGCCAATCGAACCACTCATGATATGACTGTTTTTTTTATGTAAATATACAGTTTATATATATACACACACTTTATACAACTCCTCGTCTTTCAACGAAAGACAAAAATTCTAAAAATGTTCTTTTTGCTATACCACACTGGCACATTAATCCCAACTTAAAGCAAAGTTAGACTTTTTGGGAAATACGTTTACTCACTTTCCTGGTGGAGATAACTGAAGGAGACTGACTTAGATAGGTGGATTATGTAACCACCACCCTTTCTCAGGAACTCTACACTGACTGGAAGCTTCATATTTACCGTCGAGACTGAGGTCAGCGCCACAAAGATGCTTTAGATTACTCCATAGTTTTAATTGTACTATTAGATTAGTCTAATGTGAGTAGGTAGTTTCACGGAAGTACAGACTGACCGAGCTAACTCACATTTCCAAGCCCTTAGCCTTATTCTAAGCCGTATCTCTGTTGAACCATCTCGACCTTCTCCACTCAAAGACTGAATAACCGTATTTCCCAAACTACCCCGTTAAAGCCCATCTTACAAAAAAGCACTTCATTTAACAGTGAAAAAGGGGGTTTTGGAGGTTGTGTACAAATTAAAGTGTATTTAAATGGCTCTTTAACCATTCCAAGACCATGCAACTTCATTTGTATAGTGTGCTTGAAATTTACAAAAAGAAAAAAAAAAAAAAAGAAGCAACCTAAAACTCACATTATGTTTCTAACAAAAAGATTACATTCTGCATGCTGTACTGAAATAAAGGAGGAAAAAAAAAGAAAAAGGGCCAGGGGCGGCTCACAACACCGAAAGTCATCACACACATGTGGGTTTACTCCAGTGACGGCACAAGAATCGCCAAAAAAAAATAATTACACCAGCACAGGAACATGTTGTTGACTCTTTGTTTGCTGTTTGACAGCTTAAGATTATCAGAACTCCTCTAAATAAAAATTGCACTGTATTGACAGGTGGTGTGGTGCGTTATAGTGAAGGGAAGGGGCACGTCTACCCAAAGCAGAGGAATGTAGGCTCTGAATAGAGGGAGCAAACAGTATGGCAGCATGGCTTCACTCGTCTTCTTCTTCTTCTTCTTTGCCTCCTTCTTCCTAGAAGAACCGGCCGGAGTACTGCCTCACGCTGAAATAAGAGACAGATAAAGATGAGGACATTTCATGAAAACATTAAGAATATTTATGTCAGCAGGAACACGATGCGGGTCAGGAGTTGTAAATGCTGGATGCTGCAAACCGCGAGACATTTTTCATGTGGAGCGCAGTTGTAAGTTAGAAAAAGTATTTCAAGGTCAAGGCTGAAAATAAATTCTGTCTGCAAGAAGCAATATGACGGGTGAAATCAGCTTAGGCGTCTAGTGAGGGGAGGGAGGGGAGTGAACGGAGAGACGCCACAAGATGAAATACTGTATTTACATCTTTTACTCAAATAATCGATTCATATTGATTATAGAAAATTAGTGAAAAAAGCCCAATCATGTGTTTCAAATGTTTGTTTTCTTAGACCAACTGCTCCAAACTTTCAGATGCTCAGTTTACAGACACAAATGGTGAAATAAATACCTGCAGATTAATCTTCTGTGGCTCAATTAATTAGTTATTGTTGCACTAGAGGATCTCTGTTCTTTTGATTCAGATTAGTGTGTTCAACATCCAGACTAACTACTATGACAGCAGAATGATGGCCACAACAACAACAAACATATTGTGGGTTTTATGTACTTTTCTGTCTATGTGTGTTACGTTAAGGTAACTAGTTAACCCTCTGAACCCCAAAACACACTGGTTGGTTTAAAAGGAATGTTACCTTTGAAGAAAATTGCAAACCATTTATCTGTCAGAAACTGTAAAAACAGAATTATCATATTTCTACTTTTCTGACAGCACTTGAACTACTCATGTGTGTCTTTCCATCAGAAAACTACATCTAAGCTAAAAATCAGGATTTTTCATTGAAATCACTTTACTTTTCATGTGTTGTTAGAAAATTAACCAAAAATAAATAGTCTGTTGTAACAGCCCCACCGACTAGCAACCAACAGTCACATGACAAAAATGTAGAGGCTTGTTATCTAAACTGGGCTGAACTGCAGGTTTTGTCTACACAGAGCAGAAAGGTGACAAGTAAAGAAACAAATGAGGGTAGTAAAAAATGTATAGCATGTCAAGTCACCATATTTTCCAGTATTGCTAACACCTGGAAAAATATCATACATGTTGATTTTAGAGTTTTTCCAATTCTTGTAAAATAACCAATCAAAAAAATTCATATTTATTCTTATGATTTATGGCATTATATTTATGTCATGCAGCACAAGACATTTTTGAATTCTTTCCACTTCTAGTCATTATTGCGTTGTGTCCACAGAGGTGCAGGATGTTACACTGCAGTGAAAAAATGACTTCAAAGTGAATAAAAATGTGACGGGGCAACAAAACACAGAGAAACTAAGTGTTCAGAGGGTTACAAGCAAAAAACAAATGTTTTGCTTGAGAGAGGACAAGCACAGAGGCCAGCAGTGATGACGCTGATGTTTTGGGGAATGAGAGCAGCACATGCCTGTTCTGCAGCAAGTACTGGGCGTTCTGGATCTGGTCCTGTGTCCCTGTGATGGTGATGATTCGGTCCTCAGAGCCCTCTAGTGGTTCATCAATCTTGATGGATGCCCCGGACTCGTGGCGGATCTGCTTGATCCTCTGGCCGCCCTTACCGATGATGGAGCCAGCTAGCTGCACAGCAACCACACAGGCCAGTTGATAACGGATTGAGGAGTTTCATTTCTGCCACTGTTAACTACAGGAGTCATGTCTTACTCACGTCTTTTGGGATGGTGACTTGCGTTGTGATGACCGGGCCTCCGATATCACTGTACGACCCTCTTCCACCTGGGAGGGGAAACACAACATTTGAGTGGAGTTTTTCTTTAACTAAAGCGAGTGACAAGAAGAAATGATCCCTTCAGGTTAGAAAAACAAGACGCTGGGACAGTAATGATCCATCCCGACTCACCAGACTGAAAGTGCTCCCAGGAAGAATTGTTGTCTTTTGAAAACATTGGGAAGGAAACAAGAAAGTGAAAAATGAAAACACACCAGAGACGAAGAAAAGCGATAATGTGATCGGAAACAAGTGATGCAGCCAGAATGTCCAAAACTAGAGCTGCAGTGATTTATCCATCAATCCATTGGAATGTAAACTAAATATATAAACAACTAATTAAACTCTTTTGAGCATTCAATCACTTAAAAAGTGCAAAACTTCTATGGGTCCATCTATTTCTTAGGTAGTAAATTGGTTTTGGACTGTTGATCAGACATTCGATGACTTCACCAAATGTGATTCATTTTTCAGTATTTTTAAGTAAATAAGTGGCAAGTTCATTGATGAAAATAATCACTGGTTGCGAACCTATTTATGTTTTTCTCCAACAAATATGTTCACTTATATTTTTTTCAAGTGATGTCATTTCTAGGATGCACGGACATGTCAACACACACACAGCCACAGCTAGACACAGAATTCAGTCAGTCCAGTAATGAGTGATCAGGCGGCCAGATGGGTTTTTAAAAACACAGCATTACACTTCATTCCTGCATTGACTTTTTGACTTCTTCTTTTTTTTTAATTCGAAGGCTTTCAAAAAAGTGAACCCAAGCAAGTATTTAGAAGAGAAGGGCAACATGCAGGGAAATGTGTCTCACAATCATCTGTTTGGCAAAAACAGAAAAAAAGCCAAATGCCAAAGTACATCAAGACAAAGCTGAACCAGGAAGTGACTCAGCAAAATGCAGTGAGTAACATGCACATTTTTTTGTTGTTAACAAAAATTCCTTTTGTGTTTCCTTGTGGCTTGATAATATCATAGAGCCAGTCACACATGCTTGTGGTTGACACTATAGAGCAGGGGTGGGCAACCCACGGCTCTGGAGCCACATGTGGCTCTTTCATACCTCTGCTGCGGCTCCTTGTGGCTTTGGAAAATAAATAATGAGTATTTAATTTAAATGTATTTTATTTCAGTTTGCTAAGTATTCCTAATGTAATTCTAAATTTGAAGATTATGGTGATTATTGCAACCGCAGATGTGCGACACCCGCTGGCATGCACAGTGTTGCCAACTCGGTGGTGACTTTCCAGATCTTCTTAATGACTTTTTTTTTTTTGTGAAAAGCAACTAGCGACAAATCTAGCAACTCTTTCTGGTGTTATTTGAGACTTTTCTGGTGTTTTGGAGACTCTGATGTGAAAACACGTATCATTCTTCAGTTACTCTCCTCAGCAAGCAGTGATGCTGCTGTGACCTCCTCCTGTCTCAAAGCGCTCACAGGCGGTCAGCAGCCTGGTCAGCAGTCCCAGCTGCAGTCAGCAGGACAACCACACCTCATTTTTACTTTGCTGCAAGTGGATCATTTAAATTCGGCTTTTTTTTCCATACAAACGAGGAGGATTCAAATAGACATTGAGTATTTTATTTGAAAGTAACCTTTAACCCGGCGTCTTTTTTTCGGTTTAAAATGTTTTTGTTGCAGAGATAAAATTTTGTTTTCTCTGCAGAAGTTCATTGATTTCACAAATGCAACACACTATAGTTTTTTATACATAGCATAAAGGTAAAAAACGATATATGCAGTGTTATTTTCGTTGTAGATGTCAAAGGGGTTTAGTGGCTCCCAGTGTTTTCTTTTCTGTGGGAAACTGGTCCAAATGGTTCTTTGAGTGTTTAAGGTTGCCGACCCCTGCTATAGAGCATACAAACAAAATCCAGAACTCTGAAAATAAAACCCAAATTAAAACAGAAGACACCATTTTCCTTTGAATAAACAATCGTAAATCTGTGCAGAATTTACATAAATATCAACACTCACCATATCCGCCTCCACTCTGCATGTCAGGAGTGATTGCAGGGACAAAAAAGAAAGATAAAACAGTTAGAATGGCATGATGAAGACAGAAAGCTTGCAGAATTTTTACACAAGTTTTCTACACAATAATAAAGCAAACATTTTGTATCCATTACATTACAAACAATCTGTCTGTATCAAGAACAGCCTGAATTATCCGAGGCACGGATTCACCAAGGTGCTGGAAATGCTCCACACGGAGCTCAGACTGTACCGACTCCTCAGCATTAAGCAGTCCCTGCACATTCTCAGCGACATTCATGCTTCAAATATCACACTGCACTTTATCTGAAAAGAACGTCACTGGTTTGAAATGTGAGGCCTGCTGCTGCTGGACACAGACACAAACTGAAGGAACTGTGAGACCATCCTGTGATGTCGGGTACGTCTGTTTGGATTTATTATTTGGATGAAGCTGAACACGGCAATGACAAGATACACCTGTTCAGCAAAAAAAACCCAAAAGGAATCAGTGATAACATGTCAGCAGCTTTCAGACTCCTTTGAAGCAGTAGGTAACGAGCCGCTGACATGTGGACACACAACCTTATTTTCCTCAATTCCCAGAGGAACATACACACCGTCGTTCAAGTCAAACACTTGAGAGCATCTGCACTTAGACCTGCAGTTGGAGTGCACAGTCTGCTGCAGCAGTTGTGGCAAAGAATAAGAGAACTGGCGACAAAGGAAGTGTTTCAGTTGTGTGTTTCGTTCTATTCTGTGTCACGCGTCTGACAGCACAGATAGGCTTCTATTTTAATCAGTCGAACTGTTGAAACTGGCTGCGTGGCAGTGCTCGTTTTACTAGCCCTATACAGGCCTAAACATTAGTGTATATTATTATATTTACTTCTATTTTCTTGTGGTTTACGCAATGATTGCATCTGACTGAGTACTGCCAAATAACAAGTGACCTTTTCTTTCTAAATGTTTTTAATTATTTGAGCATGTAAACCATCGTTGCTCTTCTAAGCAGCCCTCAGAGAGAGGAGTAAAAGGAAACTGTAAACTAGTCTTAATATTATTAATTTACTTCTAAATTTCTTGAATCACTCACTGTTAAAATGCAACTCCATTTTCTAATGGAAAAAAAGAGTCTTTATTAGATATTTGGTTGATTTTTGTGCTGTTTTCAAGGACTCTAAATGTCAGGAATTCATTACCATCTAATGCTATCTATTTGAGCAAATGTATTTTTCTGCCTTCTTATTGCAGCTGAAACCTGTAGGGAACCGGTTCAGGAATTGCTTTGGTTTCTGCTCAAGTTCATTTGCTAGCCGTGTGGATCTCTGGACTACGTACTCAGCTGCTCTGTGGTAACCAAGGAGACAATTGTTGCCAAGCAACAACAGGCCTACATGAGTGTGCATACACAGTGAAAAAAGCAGCACAGTGTCCAAGCCTCTGCGCTTGTACTACACTGAGAAAAAGGAATTCCAATCATCTCGTCTGAAACATAATTCACAAACAGCCACTGCACAGCACACACAGCAGCACCTGTAAACACAGACTCACCATGCTGTCGTAGCGGTCTCCTCGGCCTCTTCTGTCACTACAGACAAAAACACATGCATTCAGTTTCTCTTGAGGACACTTTGATTTGTATTTATGAAACCGGGTGTCAAAGAACAAGCAGACAACTGCACATAATCTGTGAGGGTTGAAATTCTGCTACAGTGCAACTAACCCCGTTACTCCGCTTTTAAGAGAAATTATATTGATGTTTCTACTCACCTTGGTCTGTCATCCATGCTGCCATGATAGCTGCCATGTGAAAACCGGTCTCCCCTGCAAACAATGACAAATAAGGAGAGAGAGATTGTGAATTAAAAACAACCGACTACCTAAACTACTTTGCATGTGGGTGCTTTCACATCTGTAGTTTGAGTCATTTGATCTGTATCAAGGAAAAATAAAATACATTGTTGACTTTAGTTCTGGTCCAGTTCATATTCACACTGATTGTATTTTTTCTTAAATCAACTAAGAGCTATACAGAAGTTATCGTTTTTTATTAGTTGTCAACTACAAAATTAATCAGCGACTATTTTGATGATTAATTAATTGGTTCTGGTTTCTTTACTCCTTACAGACAGTGAAGTGAAAATCTTGTGGTGTTGAGGAAAAGAATACGGACATCATGTTGGACTTTGGAAAACAATAACTGACATTTTTCATGATTAGTCAACAACGAAAATAATGATTAGCTACAGCTTTATTTCACACAAGACAAAACAAACCACTTGGACAAAATCCCTACAGTGTGTTTTAACTAAACCAAACAGGTCAGGTGTGAAGAGAACCGGACCCCTCCTCACCCTCCTCTTGGCGGCGGTGGAGGGGGAAGAGGCAGGTTACGTGCTCGGCTTCCCCCTCGTCCTCCTCGGCTCAGCGGGGGCGGAGGACCCCGACGGGGGCTCATGTCATCATAGTCCCTTCTGGAGGGAGGCATCGGTCGGTTGCCACGAACGGGGGGCATGCGCTCGAAACCCCCACGCACACGGATGGGGAAGCCACCGATGGGTCGCCTGCCCCTGTCCTCGAAGAGCATGGTGAAACCGCCGTAGTCGTACGTCTCATCGTAGAAGTTTGGGTCATAAGGCTGGGCGCGACCTTTGATTGGTGCCTGCAAAATGAAAGAAGAAGGAAATGAAAGACTGTAAAGGATTACTTTGTTCTGAAATTACTGCTGAAATTACCTGTAAAGCACACAAAGACATTAAATCATGGACTTTTGCTCTCAAAGCCGTCATTACTGCACGAGATGACTCACGTGTGTCTATAGAAAATATGCTGAAGCTTTTAAACCTCTGAACTCCAGGCAGTGTCGGGGCATTTCTGGCTCCAATCACTTTTTTTTTTTTTTGCAATAAAAAGTCCTGCATTTGCAAGGAAACAGCACAACCATGGCTGGGAGTAGGGAGAACTGAAAAATGTCTTCTGTGCAGTATAGCAGAGTTATAATGCCATAAAGCATTAAAAAAAATTACCTTGACTACTTATTTTATATTTTCAATGTTATCATAAAAAAGAAGAACGAAAGAAAAAGAAAAACGTACATCTCATTTCCAAATGTCCACAGGTTTTACCAATCCTAAAGAAAAAGTAACTTTACAAACTAAAATAGTTTGAATAATTCTGTGTTATGATCCAGTGATCTTTGTGAAAAGTATGAGAATGCTGTAAATGTCCATTGCCTCTATTTCACCTTGTGAGTGTGAGATAAGTACAAGATATCCTTAGCGGGTAGTCAAAACACCATTTGCAGGAGGTTGTCTTCTGTTTATTGTTCACTGTCTGTATATAAGAACCAGTGCTTCATGCTTTTAGTCAGTCACTTGTTCAGACTCTGTGCTGTACATGTTGCTCCTTGCTGCAAGTAAAACTTTGCTTTGACTTAAGAGACGATTCTGTGTATTGATTTGGAGCAGTTAGGACTCCACTGAAGAATTCTCTTAACATTTTTGGTCCTTCGAGACTTTACTTTTATTCTTTTGTATAATTTTGTTTGAATTTATGGAGTTTCAGCTGTACTGGTCTGAACTGCAGGCTGTGTTTACACGGAGCAGAGAGAAAACATTTAACGAGGAGATACGGTTTATTTTTGGGGATTTATTAAATGAGACATGCAAAATAACCTGACTGATTAAATATCGCAATTTAACTTTAGATTTGGTCAAGTTCTCCCTCAAAATGGCACATCACAGATTAATAAGGACAGCTGGAAAATTGAAAATGCAGTAGTTCTGTTTTTACAGTTTCCATCTATGATAAAGTGTCATTTCAGCAATGTTTTAAGATAACAAACCTTTCAAAGCAGTGTTTGGTTCAGAGGGCTAACAGATCTCAGCGATGTAAACTCACCTCTGACACCAGCTCCAGGATAACTTTTATACATTCAATGACGCGCTCTGGCTTTCCTCCCACCAAGACGACTCTGTCAGTGGAGTGTGGACAGCACTCCTGGAACAACTTGATGGTTGTCTGGGTGTTCTGGTGCACAGAAACATGAAAATGTTAGTCTGTTTCCAGCCCATTAAATCTACTTTTTATTGCTTTGCTACTGATATAGCCACCAGCAAAAACATGGTCTGTCCTTTAATAATGTATTTATGATGTCATTACTGTTACAACTCATTAGATCGCTAGCACAAAAGTAGTTAGATAGGTTATGGAACAGCTACTAAACACAGATGCACAGACAAGTAGAAGGAAAATGCACAAGCCAGAGAGGAGACAGATTTTAATAGTTTACACACAGTATCCATCATTAGCAGTTCATCTCCAGGCCAGCTGTTGGTTCACAGCATCACAGTGTGGGTTCCTGCTAATCTGGACTCTGTCCTACCTCTCTCAGCTCCTTTATCTTGGCACCTTTCACCCCGATGATGCCCCCGGCCAAACTCTGATGGATCAGCAGGCGAAGCTCACAGTCAAAATCAATCCCACTGTAATGCTGGTACTACGGAAACACAACCGCACAAGATCAGTTGGACCTGAAACTCTTCCTACTGCTGATAGCAAATCTTTTTGGCAATTAGATACTGTAAACACAATAAAAACACAGAAGTATGAACAGATACACAAGAGATAAATCACAAGCATCAATCTGGAAAACTTATTGTAAACTTAAGATTGATACTGCTGTGCTGAATTCCATTTTGTAAGGTGACACAAGTCAATATGTTGATGGAACGTACTGCAATCTATATAAACAATACGCTGTGACGAAGGACAGTAAACATATCTGTCACTTCTGATTATAACGCCTGTTTGCAGCAATGTAAACTAGTATTAGATATTCTTACATATCTAATATTAAACAGCAGAGAAGTAACCGACGTGCTAGTTGTAGAAGACGTGTTTAAGCAGCACAGGTTAACCCACAGACATAAAGACGTAAATAACTGGTGCTCCAATTGCTGGTGCTTTAAACATAAAAATTATTATGTGACAAGATAAATGATGACAATATTTGCCAAACACAAGAAAACTTAGCAGAACAGAAGTGGCAAAAATTGAGCTCATTACAGAAAACACAGAAAAACAACAATTTAAATCCTAATTTATGCGACAGCCGACAGATGAGCTAATTCCTGTGGTGAAATGGTATAACAAACAACAACATACAAAACCTGGAGAAATACAAACGTAAAATCTTTTAATTCTTATGTTTGGACACATCTGAACCAGTGAGCGGCAACTGCAATATGGTAGTAATATTAGTATGCGTATCGTAAGTGTGGTCAAAAAGAAATAGTGTGGTAAAATTTTAACCAACCAGCAAGTGGTTGTGAAACAAACTTCTGCTGCCAAACCTGAGGAGTCTCAGTGAAGTAAAAGGTTCCTTCATTAGCTGATGTTTGGTCATTTTGTCCTTGGACGTCATGTGTACCAGGTCTACCCACGGGGTTGAGCAGGAAGAGCAAAACTGAAGCTACATTCACACTAAAACTTCTGCCCCGTTTACGCCTATCATCCACACGACTCCAGAGTTTTACAACCTCAAAAATTGAGTTTAAAAACTCTGGAGTCATGTTCTGGTTTGGACATACAGAAACAGACATTTTTTTGGAAACGATCACACAAGGCCTTCATGTCACTATATTCATTCCCAGATTCATGATGCTCCTATCATTTGATCGTTTTCTGGAAGACAACCTTCTTCATCCTTGCCATGATTCAAGGTGTGTTACCACTACAAACTATCAATCAGTGAAATAGTGCCATGGCTATGATGCTGTTCGCATTCTCGCTTGTACTCGCGAGAACTCTGATATAAAGTGAACTTCAAATGCTGCATCAAAAACCTTCTTCCTATTTTATCATCCTCATCATTATCCTGCGTGGCTCTCCGCTTATACACAAAACCGGCACGGCAGCTTACCTCCTCTAGAGTCGGTATGATTTTCAGCAGAATCTCTCCGATGGTGTCGATGCTGGCATTCACGCTCAGGATCCTGTCAGGAACCATTTTGGCCAGAAGGAAGCGAGACATTACAAGGAGGACAAAAAGTAGAACAGAAAGCACAGCCTGATAAAAAAGTACAGGAGAAGCAGTCCAGCAAACAGTTACGAACAGACTCACGAAAGGTTTCAAACTAAAAAAAAAAAAAAGGAAAAAATAAATAAATAAATCAAGACTGCAGCATTCTACCCAAAATAACTTTTCCCCAACACTACGCTGATTAAATAAGCAGCTGACATGCACTGAATCTAATATTATTTTCAAAGTAAGAGAAGCCTTGGGAGGATGGGCGACTTCAGAACGGCTCAAATTAACGTGAGAGTGGCCACACAGAGCTGGGGGAGGGGAGAAGGGGGGGGTGTAAAAGAGAGAGAGATAGAGAGATCTTCTATAACCATCCCACCACCAGCAAGTTGGGGAAAAGGAACCAACTAAAACAATCACTTGCCATGACAAATTGGGCCACCAGCACACCTTCTCATTGTGACCAGGGGGGTGGGAAGAGGGGAGAGGTGGGTGGGTAGGGGGAGGGCTTGGGGCTGAGGTGAGGAGGAGACGAGGTGGGCAGTAGGAAACAGTAACAGAGCAAGGGGGGAGGGAGGGGTGAGGTGGGGGGAGGGGAAGGAGATGCAAGTGGTTACCATACTAGTTTGTGGCACAGAACAGGAGCAGGGTGGGAGGGTTATGAAAGGTTTGGCAGGCAGCTCTGAGCTGATGTGGCCTGAGAGAAGTTCAACAGAAGGAGATGCAGCACAATGATATCAGGAGACGACATTAATGAGTGACAGAGCGGGGAGGTAGGTGTGTGTTGGGGGTGGGGGGGGGCCTCCAGACAGAAGCTCTCTCAGAGATCATGGACAGTGATGCTGAAAACAGTGGGGGGGGAAAAGTAGGGTGGGTGAGGAGTTGGAGGTAAAGGAGGGGGTGGGAGGCCAGGTGGGCCACAGAGGACAGAGTGAGAAAAAGATGTCTGCTTTCCACAAGTTTCATGGTAAAATTAAACACCACAGCAAGAGGAGGGGTGGGGGAGGGGGGAACAACATCCAAGTGCTGTGTTGCAAACTCTAAAATACCAACTACTTGGTAGTGGGTTGTCAGTGATTCTCTGCATGGACAATAAAACTGTAATGACAAAAAAGTTCCAACTCAATGGAGATGCTGAAAATGGACAGAAAAATCAAAAAGAACAATACACGTCTCTTACAAGTGGAGGAGGGGGGTGTTTGGGGGGGAGGGGGAGGGGGGAGTATACTGTCATGTATATAAAAATGTTAAAATGAAACAGAAGGCAGGTTATCAAAGACATGTGTTTCACTGTTCTAATCAGGCAGTGAGGCAATAACTGGTGGGACATACCGCTCTGGGCCACTGCTGTCTGGGACTGATACACTGGCATTGTACTGCATGGGCCGAGGTGGTGGTGGTGGTGGTTGTGGAGGTGGTTGTGGTGGAGGAGGTTGGCATTGGGCGGGGGCATTCAATCACAAGTTAGGTGCCCGATTAAGGAGGGGCACGGTTTATGGGCAGGGCCAACCGGGAGTGTCAGGTGGGCGGGCGGGCGGGCGTTCAGGGGCGGGCGGAGGTTGGGCCAACGTCAAGGTGGGCAACGCAGGAGGGGCATGTCGATCCAGTACATGGGCAACGGAGGAAGGTGGCCAAAAGTCAAAACAAAAAAGTAAAGGAGAAGGGAAGAGGGGGAGAAGGAATACATTTTTAATTGAATACACGCTACACTTTGTCCCAAAAGTGAAATGAGAGACTTGAAACTTTGGTGAGTGAAGAAGAACAGGAAGAGTGACCTGGACAAAGATTAGGTTTAATAATCAAGTCTGGAGCACTACAGAGATTTACGTCCCTGAAAAAAAGACTTTCCAGTCAGGCTTTCAGGCACCGGTGGTCACTTCAAGGTCACACATACTGTCAGGGGGGAACTGGAATCAGGCTGAAACTCACAACAGGACTTCAAACAAAAGCCAACAGAGCTGTCTACGGAGGCCTTCCTGGTCTGTCCACATGGGCTACCTCGGTTTCATCAGTGCATGTCAATTCTTAGACTGAAACCTGCTGGCAAGAAATCTGGGACTGTTTTAGTGTGAATCCAATGAAAATGGGTTGAAATCAAAGAGAATTTAGGCATGGATCCTGTCAGTTTCAGTACAACTCCTTAGCATGTAAATATAGCTGGTCACACAAAACCTATGCAGCTTCTGCAACAAAGGGGGCATTAGCAAACTTCATTTTCTCCTCACGTGCAGACATATTTGGAGATTTCTGTGTGTTTACTCACGTCTGTGCGTAGGGCTTTTATGTTCTTGCCACCCTTCCCAATAACAGCACCAGCATTCTGTGAAGTAAAAAAAAATAAAAAATGTAACTAATAGTGGGGACAAACGTGCAGCGAGGCCCGACAACTGTGTGAACTGAACGGTTCCTTACTTTGCTCTGCAGCAGCACTCGCAGCTCCACCATCTCATCTGTGTTGCGTGAACGTTTAAAGGCTTGCTCTTCATCCATGTCCTCTGCTGGGCGTTTACCTGAGGGGGGAGAAGACTCGGGTCACATCTGAGCCGGGCGGTCGGTCTGAACGAGGTGTTGGTCGGTTACAGCAGGAGTCCTGAGTAATGACTTTAAACTGAATAAACCCTTAAAGCCTCCTCTCTCCTCTCTGTTGCTTCGCTGACGTGTAACGCCACACCACTGGTTCCTCTGCTCGCTGCAGCTCAGCACACCAGCTCAACAAAAAATGAACTACTTTGCGCTACACAATGGCAAATTTTGTGAGGCACTGAATACTTATTTTGCTCACACGTCTTATAGCATATTAAAAACACATTAAGAGGGTAAAACAACTTGATTTTCAAGTTTTAAATCAGTAACTTTGGGCCCTGATTACTGCAGCTGATAACACAATATTTCACTCCTTAAACTTTTCATCAGGATTAGCCCACTTTTTCGAAAAAGAAAATGATGTAATTATCTTGCATAATGACATATAAATACTTCAGACAATGGCAAAACTTTTCCACTGCGTCACTGTACTACCGGACCAAAAAAAAAAAAAAAAACACACACACACCAAGGGGAACCAAATTAACATTACTGGCGACAGCCTCTAAAGACTTAATAGAAGTGGCAAAAATATAAATACATGGCAAGCGCGAGGTCTACAGCATGTTCCACCCAAAGAATGGGTTTCATTCAGCCGCCAACTGTATTCTGGAAGAAGTCCAGCAGCACCATGTACCCTTCCTGGATTAAAACACGGGCAGATCTGCTCAGGGCCCACAGAACAGCAGTATCTTGGACAGGAGAATCCCTCAACCATCTGACATGTCCACATGCTATGTAGTACCAGCCAGAAATGTTCATTTTTTTCCCCTTTTTTTTCTCTCCTCTCTTGTGTGAACTAATTAGCCGGTATATCCACACACTGTATTTCATGCTGGTTGTAACACGAGACGGGCTCGCTTCATTTTCTACTTAATGCACGAGTTCATTCATACAGATTACATTACGCTTATGAATGAGTGGCAAGATGAACATGTGTATGATCTCACCATTAGTGTCTGTGTTGCTGAATGTGATGTCTTCGTCCTGCTGTTCGACTTTCATCTCCATTGTCTTGCACCTGCTGTGGAAAGCAAACAGGTTCCTCTCCCTGGATCTGCTGAGAGGAGGATGGAAGGGAAGCAATGATGTAGTGAGGAGCAGTGTCACATACTGTACACGCAAAGACACATCTGGTCAAACACTCTGGTTACTACTGACAATAGCTTTTATGTTAAACTAAACAAATAATTTTCTATAGTAATCAGGCAACAGTTTGGCCTATAATATGTCACACAGTGCTGGAGAATTTGGAATTTGCAAGCACCAATATTTAGCATTTCTTTGATTATCAATGGTTATTTTTTTTCAACTGACTTCCAAAAAAGCAAATATTTTTAAAATGCCCCTCTGCGGCTCTGATGCAGCCACCTCACTATATGAACTTGAGCAATTTTATCAATTCATTTGATCGGATTAGTTACACACACAGCACAATAGCCGATCAACACCCAAGGATAACTGCTGAAAACATCTTTGTAAATTACACATTAGGCCTGCAACTAACAAGCTGTTTCCTCATTGATTAGTCTGTCTATTATTTTCCAGATTAATCACTTGTTTGGCCATTAAAGTGTCGGAAAATGGTGAAAATATCAATCAGCCTTTCCCAAGCTCAAGATCATGTCCTCAAATGTCTTGTTCTGTCCAAAACCCAAAGACATTCAAGTTTTCTATCATAATTTTTTTCTGATTAATCAAAGATCAAAATAGTTGGCAATGTTGATACCTAACTGATTAATCACTGCAGCATAAAACAAATAAACAGGTGCTTTAGTCACGTTTTGTGTTTGAATTTGTGCTATTCAAAATTCTGACAGCAACATTTTTATCCTTACAGCAAATACAGCATTAGAAATAATTATTAGACCACCATTTTCTGACTCTTACTTTAGGGATCTTCGTGATGCAATTTTGCATTTTTTCCTTAAGGTCATAACAAACAGTTGTTATGCTGATTTCTAGCTGGTTAGCCACGGCTCTCTCTCATCCTGTCCCTCTATGTTATGCAGTAAGACGACAGTCTACTTATCTCTTCATTTAGGCATTGTTGAGAGATCATTCAGTTTGGATTATTTGTTGACTTTACATATCCAGTTTATGCACCAAGTTGATTCAAAAATGTTTTCAGGACTGTGCCGTGACTTTCTCCATGCTCTTTTACAAGATGCTGTAATTGTTTAACCACGATGATAAAATTCATACTAAATTATTAATGTTGAAGGCATGTTGCCTCAGTTTTGTAAATCAAACAACAGGTGGTAGAAGAATTATTACCAAAGCTGTATATATTGATTATAAACTTCAGTTATGGATTACTTATAACTGGTATTGATCCTGAAAAATAAACATCAATACACTTCTATGGTAAAAACCTAGACACAATCAGCTTGTTTACCAGCATAAATACGATTGAAAAATGTCACAAAACAGAAGTTGCATGCAAAAAAATGTGCTCGATAAATGATTGCAACAATTAATCAGATGAGAAGTAAAGTCTGAACTCATGAGTCAGGTATGCATGCAGCAGAGTGGATGCTGCATGCATACCTGTGTGAGCACTACAAGGTCCTGTGTGTTCTCTGTTGTACATGTGCAGCCCACCTACACATCCTGCCCACTGCTGCTAGCTGTCTGCACTCCTGCAAGCATCTCTCCTGCACCGAGGCCTTGCTAAACTTACAAGGGGGGGGGGATGCTAGTCAACGCCTACACGGCTCCGGAACAAACAGCTCCCATTTTAACTAGCAAGGGTCTCTACAGGAGCAGCCACAGCCAGAAATAAAATAAAACAACACACATAATCACATGTGCATTAGAGTCATCCGGAACTAATTAGCTATTAGTGGAGAAAGCCCATCACGTCCTGTAATATGAAGCCAGTTTTTCAGTATTTTTATCCAGCCGAGGTGACTGTCCGTTAAGGGCACTGCGCAGGTAGAAGGAGCGCGTGTTTGTCACCTGCCCGCGAACTGAAGTTAGCTAGCTGGCAGCGGTGTTGACGTTACTTTCCCATGCTAACTTGCTCCGCTAAGCTAGCCAGTCGGTTTCTCCTGTGTGTTTTACGAGGCGTGTCTGCCAGCTACAGTGTCCACGTTGCGACGTTCAGCGCCGACAAACAAGACGCGGAGCAAGCCCGGCTGTCCTCCCTCCTGTCAGCGGTCAACTCTCAATAAACCGCCCCCCCGCAGCTAGCTAACACGCCAACCGAGCGCGACGCCACGAGCCGAGCGGACTAAATAGAACAATTAGGAGCACAGACCTGCAGTAAAACACCGTTCACTGCGGTCCTCCACGGTCGCCTCGCCCTGAAACGTTCACACGTTGCCAACACGGAGACTCTCTGGAGCGGCTCGATTCGTCGACTCTCTCCCGGCGGGTCGTTACAACGCGACCGTCGAGGCAGCGCGGGCGGGCGGGGTTATGATACGTTAAATTGGAATAGAAGGACTCGGTGCGCCCACAACTGCTGCACAGAAAAATTATCAAACTCTCCCAGGATAATTAGCATATTCTGGTCCTGAGTTCAGGCTCGCAGGCAGCTGTTCGTCTCCGGCTGCCTACAACCCCGCCTCCTCCGGCGGACTCCCCGCCGTCCCCTTGCAACAACCACTGCAGGCTGAAATCAGAGCGGTGAATCCCTGACTGCTGACTCTCAGGATAGTCAGGCTGCTGCTCTTGGGCCTTAATTCAATTCAATTAGTTGGTTTACACAGTCAGTCCAAATGCTACGTGATTTATGCTCCTCAGATTTGTAGACAGATCAACACTGAAGGACGACATACAATTATAGACAGATACTTTGGGTTAATTCAAGGTATCCAGTTGCTACATACAAAAAGGAAAATGTGCAAAAGATCATGCAATAATGTGCAAATTGTACACTTATGCAATTATGAAGCGAAACTTAATTATATTTAACTGTCTTGGCAGCAGTGTTTATGTATTCTTTAAGTCCATTTATCTGAAGAAACCAGGTCCAATAAAACACCTTTGTTGGGAGAAGGAACTGAAGAAGTAAAGGGAGGAGGGGATTCCTAATTTAAAACAAACATGTAATTCTGCAGAAGGAACCCAAATGGACTCTTTTTGCACTTGCTGTTCCCCTGTAACACTGATGATGCTCAAAACATTCACTTGTTGGTATCAGTGCAACTTGAACTTATTTTGTTGATGACACTTGCTAAGGCTATTGGTAACGGCTATTGGTAAGGCCTGTGGTGTACGCTGTTTGGATTAAACATGCAACATTGGACAGTTACATATGAAGTTAAAGAACACACTATCCATCCATCCATCCATCCATCCATCCATCATCTACACACCTCTTAATCCTCACCAGGGTCGCGGGGGGCTGGAGCCTATCCCAGCTGACTTAGGGGACACAGGGCTACACTTAGAGACAGACAACCAAGCACACTCACATTCACATCTACGGACAATTTAGAATCACCAATTAACCTCAACATGTTTTTGGACCTTGTGGGAGGAAGCCAGAGAACCTGGAGAGAACCCACGCTGCACGGGGAGAACATGCAAACTCCATGCAGAAAGATTCCGGTGCCCCCACCCGGACGCGAACCAGCGATCTTCTTGCTGTGAGGCAACGGTGCTGACCACCGATCCACCTTGCAGCCCTAAGAACAGACTACTGTTGTAAAAACAAAACTATTAACGTTAAACCTATCTAACTTCATTTCAGCCAGTTATTGTTAGACATTAAAGAAGCTTTGTTGTTTTTGGCGTTGATATAAAAAATGCTCTACTTAATCAAACATAACTCACATAATCAGAGATTAATGATTAATGATGATCAATGATTTGTGATTCCTGTCACTCCCTCCATCCATTTTCCATGCAATGCAAATTTCCCCACTATCGGATTAATAACAGCTTACTATATTGTATCATACAGACTATTTCATGCTATTAACTTTGAGTCTTCTCTTTCTGTCGTCTGTGTTTGTCCTTACCTCCTCTCTCTCCCTGGACTTCTCTGCAGATATTTCTTGGCTCAGGAGCTGCACAGGTCTGATCTGCAGCTCCTGGTCCTACCAATCTGTCCACTGTTTACGTTCTCTCATTTGTTTTCTGTTTGTCTCTGCTTTCCCTCCCTCTCCTCTTTACCCTCACTTCAACCAGTCGAGGCAGATGGTTGGCCTCCCAGGACCTGGTTCTGCTGGACGTCTTTTTCTCCTGAGTTCTTCCTCTCCACTGTTGCAAACATGCTGCTCATTGGGAATTTTTCAGTTTTCCATGTATTTTTTTTAGAGTCTGACAGGTTGTTTTCCCTTTTTGGCAGGTACATTTCCAGAAATTATAGTACTGTTGGGTCTTCTGAGTCAGAATCAGTTACATTGCCAAGTAGGTTTTCACATATGAAGAATTGAATGCATTACAGTAAACATTGACACGTAGACATTTTTTAAAGAAATATTAAAAGATTTTTAAAAAGCAAATGTTGCAAGACAAACAGGAAGCAAGTATTACAAGTCAAATCAATAGTAGTAAATCCGAGAAATTACAAAAGTAATAAAAAGTGATAGAAATGTTTTACTCTGTAGAGGAATGTGCAAATTACTCACTTAAGAATGTGCAGTGTTACATATCTTGTAATGTTACTACTTAATTTAGTCAGGTAAAAAATGTTTTCATATCATTTTGTAGGGTTTTAACTGCAATATTTAAATTGCTGAGGTAAATTCACATTATAAATAAAACTGTAGAATCGTAACCTTAATATTCTGTAAAGCACTTTAGGTTAACAGCTGCTTTTTTAAATGTGCTACACTATTTAATATATATTTACACATGAAGCACTGTCTTAAAAGTAACGTTACTGTGCAGGGATTTCATTCTGCCGCTGCATGACTGATGTTGCAGATCTAAAAATAAATTAAATGTCTGATAGATAACTGTTGTCTGTGTATGTGTGTGTGTAACCCACAAAACTAGACTAAGAGAGTCCGGGATGTAGATCAGTGGAGTCACAGCTGCATCACTGCACGCAAGGTTCAAGACAAGTCTGCCACCAGCTGGTTCAAGTCAGAGGCAGGAGCAGAGATGAATGTTGCATAAGTTCAAAGTATATGTGCAAGAGAAGGCAGATCTCCTTGTGTGAAGGCTGAAAAGTTACAGACACAACTTCTCCACAGCTTACTTCTCTCTGCAAGTGCAACTTTAATCTCGTGGTCCAGAGGAGGAACCACCTCAGCGTAGGAAATCCTCCAGTTCAGAACATCACCAAACTAATGAAAAGTTATGAGATGTGATATAAAATTTAAAAGGAAGCTCCCTCCCTTTTCCTGAAAGAGAAGAATTATTCAAACTGAACCTTTTTCCAGTCAGTTTGTGGTGCATCCACATTCTCTTTCACGCTGTCTAAAATGACGAGGCCATGAGATCAGACTGATTAAACCGGAGCCTCCACCTCACTGCCCAGTTATTGCAAACCAGGAGCCTGAATCCCCCTCCGCATTTCACCTGTTAAACATCCCTTTTCTCGTAGCGTTGTCATGCTCCTTCAGATATAGGCAAGGATCTATTGCAAAATAAAGAGCTCTCTCTTCCCTCTCCTATACTCTGAGGTTACCATGGAGACAGATATAATTCAGTTCTTGATGTTTCTCATAAAAAAAAAGAAAAAAAAAAAGAAAAAAAAAGCCTGCGTACATATTTTCATCTGCAACCATAGCGACACTTGACATTGTCCGCGCTATTTGTAAAAAGCAAGTCACCATAGCGACACTAACCATCCAGGCTGTGTCACAGATCATGTGTCCTGGCTTGAGTGTGCCTCCTCATCATGAGTGAAATGTAGGAATCCGCTGGTAAACAGGGTTCTGTTTGACACACATCATCACCTTGATGCTCGACAGTGATGCTCTGAGGAGTGGGAAGAGGGGGAAAAAAAAAACACATCTTACATTTCCAGTTTGGGGACATTAAAGGTTAAATAGAAAAAAAAAAGGCAACATGTTGCAATTAATATTTAAATTCAAAGAGATTAATATGCACAACAGATTTGAATGTTGTTCCCAAACACACATTAACATGCATCTCAGAGGTCAGGGGTAATCCTGAGATGTCTTCAACTTGAGGCACAGTTTGTTTACAGTGTTTTTTTTTTTTTATGTCTAATAATCTGTGCAAAACTTATTAGGAAAGAAGGGGCAACAATACACTAAAACACAAGTCCTGCTCCTATCACTGATCAGTGACTGGAGCGAGACCCATCTGAAGCTTGCAGACATAGTATAAGGTAATTATTTTTCATAGATGCACCCCGTCTTGTGCGTCAACCGTACGTCACACTAGGCCTAATGGCCAACCGTACAACAGGGCTGGTGTGTGGAGGGAAGAAGCAGAAGAAGAAAAAAAAAATGCTGCTTTCATCCAATGCATGGCTCCAGAGTAACCACAACACGAGAGTTTACATCACATATCTGTTGTTGTTGTTGTTGTTGTTGTTGCATAACCCAGCCTCACTTTGCAGCTTCGTAATAATAATAATAAAAAACTGCGCGGTTTAGTTTTGAAATTTAAATTCCTATGAATGCAGCTCGCCAAAATATGAAATCTTGCCAACATATAAAAACCCAGTCAGTGACGGCTGGTGGGTGAGGAGGGTGAGGAGGGGAGGAGAGAGAGATGCGCTCGTCCTCGGCTATAATCGATAGACGGATGCAGGTAGCCTTCCTCCCCTTCACACACACACACGCGCGCAGCATCAGCACCACGCATCCTTTTACTCCACAGTGCAGCCTCTCTCTCTCTCTCTCTCTCTCTCTCTCTCTCTCTCTCTCTCTCTCTCTCTCCCCCATCAGCACACATATGAGAAAAATCATCGCTCGTGGAGGAGGAGGAGGAGTAGTGTTGAGAGGGGGTGTGGGGGGGCTCCTGCTTATTGATCTCTAAAAAAAACCAAAAACTAAACATCTGGAACACCTCGTATTTGTTTTTAGGGTGTGTGGTTTTTTTTTTTGGTGGCTTTTTTTTCTTTTTTTCTTTTTTTTTTTGAACAAGGCAAAGAAAGCGGTGTCTGTGGCCGCGACAGGGGCAGTGAGACAGCAGCAGCAGCAGCAGCAGCAGCAGCAGGACGGACCACTTGACACCTTTGCTTCACGGCATCGATATGCAGTAGTGTGATAGCAGCTCTGCGGAGACGAGGAGGCCAGTCCATGGCATCTTGATATTAAAAAACCGCGGTGCTCTGCGCATTCCTCACCGACAGCCTTTCCCTTTTTTCCTTCTCCTGCGGAGTCGAAAGAAAGGATTAACTTGGCCACATTAAGAAAGAAAAATAAAAGGGGGAGAGAGCGAGAGAGAGAGAGAGAGAGAGAGGCAGCGGAGGGGAGGGAAATCTTAAACAATAATCCAATTTGATTTTGTGTTTTTTTTTTTTTTTTTTTGGAGGGGAGAGTTGGAGGAGGAGAGGAGGAAAGGGGGGGGATTCGTTGGGGATATCATCATTGGACCTGCGATATGGACTCCAGCGCGGGGGAATATGGCATGGCTCGTTTTGGATTGTTTTTGGTTTTGATGGGGCTGCTGTGGAGATCCGGCGATGCCTGCCCCGCATCCTGCACTTGCAGCATCTCAAGGATTGTTTGTATTGATTCCGTACCGGGGATCGAGGATTTCCCTGTCCTCACGTTAGATGACATGGAAAACATCACCGAGATGTAAGTGTATGGAGACGATCGTGGCAGACGGGCTTATTAACTTATTAGGATGCAATGCGTAAAAAAAAAAAAAAAAAAAAAGGGGGGAGAAAAATAGAGGCGATCGTGGAGGTCGCAGTCACGCCAAAAAAAAAAAATGCTCAGGGTAGAAGAGGGAATAATAATAATAATAACAGGGATAAAGGTGATAATAAGAGCAGCAGCTGCATTAATAACTGGGAGGCCTGATGTTATTTTCAGGTGTGGATGAAACAGCGGCAGATCTGTCTCTTGCGCACAACATTTGTGCTTTTATTCCTACATCCAGAGGGTTTGTCTGATCATGTAGCCTTATATATATATGTGTGTGTGTGCGTATATATGTGTGTGTGTGTCGGAAGATAGTGGCTGCTCGTGCGTGTGCGCGTAACGGTGGCGAGAGTGCGCGTCAGGGGCTTATTTGGATTAGTCGGTGTTTTCCTTTACAAAACAGCTCCAGAGGCATCGTGGTGGAGTAAAAAGGCCCAGCGCAGCCTCCCTCCGAGGTGTTCTTTTTTTTTTTTTTTTGGGCGGCGGTGTGTTGAAGCAGCCTGCTGAAATGATTTTTTTTTTATTTTTCTAAGATGACCACACTGTTGGCACATCACACACACACACACACACACACACACGAGATTTCACATCAGTTGTTGTATGTACAGCTCCGGCAATAGGCTGCTGCTGCCCACAGCTTCTGTAGCCTTATCTGCGTCAGTGTGTAGGCCTGTGTACCTGCTCCAAACCCTGCACAAGTACACAACTGCACGGCACCCAGTGGAGGATGGATGGAGGGGAGGTGGAGGAGGAGGAGGGGGGGCTTTCTGAAGGCAGACAGACAGACAGACAGACTGGAGCTATAGGCGTCACATCATCAGCCCGTCATGGATACAGTTTACTGTGGTAACGTGATTAGTCAGTTGGTTGCAAATCAAGAAAAGTCCTTTAGGAGCCAGTGCATTGTGAATTCTCTTCCATTTGTCTGTGGGTTTTTTTTGGCAACAGATTCAGCAGCTGTCATGTTTAAAGCATATCGTAAACTTCACTAAAGAATATTCGGCCCGCCAGCTTTGAAAACCTTGAATATTCTCAAAAAAATCTCATACTTTCCACAGATGATGCACTTTTAAGGTCCAATCCGCATGTAAACAAGTGTCTCCCCATGAAACAGCCACATTTGCAGCCACTCTTAAATCATTAACAGTGTTTTTAAGCAGTTTAACACTCAAGAACAGTCAAATCCAAGTTGTTTCTTCCCTGATGATCTGAGAAGCTGACAAGAAAACAATCAGTTTGTAGTTCAAACTCATATACTGCTAACAAATGTACTAAAACAGTCCCTAAAAAATGCTGCTGTTCACTATCATGTCCTGGAAAACTTATATAAAATACAGAACTTGTTACTCATCTGAAAAACAAAACAAAAGATGGACTGTGTTTTTAAAAATAAATCATGGTTCACTTGTTAATTCTTTCTTGCCAAGACTCACAAGCTTGTTAGATATTGTATAATACATTTTTAGAAGTGTGATTTCATCAAAACATGGGGAAATTCATGCCAAATGTGACATTATTAGGCTACAAAATGCAGTTATTGTTCTCTTTATTAAACACTTTTCAAATATTTTCCTAAGTCTAGTAATAAACACAACTACTATGAACAATATCAGTAATATAAGATGTCGCTGTGTAGAAATGTGCTTTCTGACCTTCCAATGTGCTGCGAGCTGAACTCTTTCAGTGAAATCACATGTAGCCTGTAAAAGATTTTGCTGAGCAAACTGTTTCAGATGAAAACAAAAGTTCAGTTTCATAAAATACACAGATTTCTGTTTTCATACTTGCATGTTTGGAGGGTTAATCTGTAAAAAAAAAAAAAAAGCATCACACAAGCAAAGCTAGTTTCTGCATCTACATGAAGTCACACTTTTGGCTCCAGACTTAACGGTGTGAATGTTTTTCCTTTTGATTTTTTTTCCCCAACAGCTACATTGCCAATCAAAACAGGCTGTTCGACATCAGCGACAGCAGTCTGAGGCACTACATCAACCTCAGAAACCTGTAAGTATCACACAGCTTCCAGCTTTAAATGCAGTTAAAAGAACTGAAAGTAACTCCACAGTTTAACCCCCAACAGGACGGTGACCAAGACAAGACTGACGTCGATATCATCGGACGCTTTTTTTAACAACACAAGACTCCAATATGTGTAAGGAGCATTTTAAAGTCGCTTATTTCACTCTGTGCAAATGAGCTGCCCTGTTTGGATTTTTCATTGTTTGTTTTTTTTGTCCTTTTAGTAATCTCAGAGACAACAACCTGTCAACGCTGTCATGGAGAACATTTCAGAACTTTAACATTACATATCCGTAAGTGACACATGACCATAAAGCTGTCAGTACATCTCTCCTCTTCTTGCAAAGTCTTCTCACAATGTTCTGTGGTTTTTAAACTTCTAGACTCCTCTTGTCTGGAAACCCTTTGGATTGCGTTTGCGAGAACTTGTGGATCAAACTGAGGCTCCAAGAAGAACCAGAAACCCCAGAGCTGACATGCATAGACGAGAGAGGAGTGGCGAGGGACTTTGTGACGCTCACCCCGCCAGACTGTGGTAAAGTGAAACCGTGTTATAACAGGAGAAGCTTTGTATCCGTTATTGACCGTTAGAGAGGCTCCACGAAGACACCGAATAGAAAAAAAAAAAGACGGATATAAACCTCGGAGCAAATCGATCTCTTTCGTATCCCGTCACATGTTTGCTGTTTTATTTCTTGCAGTGGTTCCCACAGTGGAGGTCACCCCCAGAACCTTGACCCAGATGCAGGGGACTAATGCCAAAGCTGTGTGTCGCGCCTCGGGCTCCCCTCCTCCTGAGATCCTGTGGAACCTGGATATACTGTCGACCCACTACGAGGTGAGATTTAAACCTCACACTCTACCACTTTTGGGGTCCTGATTTCTTTGCTCTTTGTGTGAATGAAACAGATCATGAGTAAGACGTCTTGGTAATGAGCTCCAGTGAAATTTAAAAGCGACAATGAAGCGAAGGCCACGGGAGGGCTGCAGACTCCAGATTTGAACTTTACTTTGACCTAAGGGATCATTTTCTTTTATCAAATCCAATGAAAAGACCAAAAGCAACGACCACATTGGTCCCACCAGCATGGCTGTGTAGACATGTCCCGATAAAGTTCATTCTTCTGGTCTTAAAGCTCCACTGATGTCAACAACCTTTAAACACACATTCCCTCATTAACACCCATAAATCAAATCTCAAAACTATATATTCTGCATTAAAACAGTGTAGCTGTTATATTTAGTAAAATCTGCAACAAAAACAACCCTCTAGTGTCCACCTGATTTAGGACAATTCATATCTTCTTAAGGGACCAGTGGATGTCGAGCTGAGCGCCACAGCAGGAAGGGAAGAGTTGGACATGTTGGTCTCTTCATGAGATCTGCTGATAACAAGAAAACATAGAATATAACTTCCTGTTTAATTTCAGCAACAAAAAGAACTTTCGGAGGCTTGACTTGGATTTGACTGTTGTGAGACTTTTGAAAGTTAAGCTGCTTGATTGCATAATGCATTGAAAAAACAAGACCAACACAGATTTGAAAGAAAAAAACCCCTAAATGATCTAAATGATCAACAAGCATTCAAAGACTCCAAACACTGAACAGACTTGAGACTTACACACGTGTATGTTTGAACATCCAAACACATTTTACCGATTAAAATATGCAAATATATTGGTGAATATATGCTTGATGTATAGAAATTATAATCAGGCCATTTTTTTTTTTTCATATAATTGAATTGTCAGGGTTTTCAAATTGTCAGTTAGGTTGGTTTGGTTTGTGTTCCTTCTTCTAACTACTATCCAACTATTTTCCCTATGTTGTTTTTTGAAAACTATTATATGCTGAAGGCCGTGTACTATTTTCCCACCAGAACTTTTTAAATTTGTCGTTCCCAAACAGACGCTTTTTAACAGCCATCCAAGCAGTCAACCAGCTAGACAATGTGTTCCACTGATACTGAGGTTTACACTGAAAAGTGTACAGACGGTACAAAAATGCCTCTTTTTCTACAAGTAAACAACGAAACACTTTTTTTAAAAACATGTTTTAATCAGTTATAGTGTGTGTGATTTAGGTTTGGCTGTGGATTTAGTTAAAGCTCTTGCACAAACGTCTAAACACTGTAGGGATGAAACCTACTTTGAAGAGCTCTGAAAGCAAACTGCAGAACAATAAAGAACCCAGAACCTGAAGTCTAAAGGAAGAAGCTACAGGCTGGATGGAAACAGTGTGTTGTCTCTACTAGGTGACCTTTGACACGAGAGTCGGACATGCACTTCTTAGCTGATGTAACTTAGGTTGCAATTATCCTGTAAGCTTTATCAACGTATAAAAAAAAATATCAAAACCTCAGCAACTGTTTCTGGTTTCAATTCAGCTGAGGGTTACATGAAAAAGTTTATTATACTGTAAATGAGTTCTCATGTACTTCTACATGGTCCTGCATAAGCAAATGATAAGCGCGATTCATCAAAATATGATTTGGCTGACAGCGATTTGCTAGAAAACAAAAGACTTTGTGCCACTCCAATGTGAGCGATGGTCTCAGCCCCTATAAAAATGGTCACGATCCTGTGAATTATTTTCTTTTAGCTGACTGTCGTAACTGGTAATCCATATACATTTGTACTATTTTAACCATTTATTGATTGAATTCTCAACTTGTAGCAAATATTTAGCAAACTCTTTCCGTTCCTTTTAGATGTTTAAGCAACTTCTCAAAGTCTGTGGCTCGCTTTGCCGTCTCAGTCCGTGGTCACGTTGATGTGTTACAGTCAGCTGCCTGCAGAGAACACCGGTTTCACGTGATGTCAACACTAATGTTCTGTTTGCAGATGGAACCTCTGGACACCGAGAACCGCCTCACCTTGTCAGGCCTGTCTCCTTACGATAACGGCAGGGTGATCGTATGCAGCGCCGAGAACATGGTCGGTCAGACCGAGGCCACCCTTCAGCTCAATATTCTCTGTAAGGACTTTAACCATGATATACATCTCGAGAAATTATATTTACATTGCTGGGTCTAATTTGTCTAATTTCCTCTGTGATGGGCTTTTAAATGCTTCTTCTAGACCTTGTTTTTCCAGTGGAAGCAGAAGGCTCCTCACTTTGTTATCATTAGTGTCTCTCGGCAAATCTTATTGACTCTCCGTGTTTGCTGTCCATAACTCTTCCTCCTGTAAAGCTCCTCATGCCTCACCATATCCCTCTGCTTGTTCAGTACCACCCCTCTCCTCGCTCTCTTCTTCCCATGTTTTCCTGTTGTCAGTGTTCGAATGTCGTGCGATCAGTCTCCCTTATCTTCCCCGACTGCATCTCGACTCTCTGAGCCCATAAATGTTGCTTTTCCTACTGGTTCTCTCCCCTCCTCCCGCCCGGTGTTTATTTCCTACCATCCCGTGATTACTCTTCCTCTACTGTTGCCTCCGTGTCAGTTGCCCCCACCATCCAGCAGCTGCTGGGTCCAGAGCGCGACCACCACTGGTGCATCCCCTTCACCGTGATGGGGAACCCCAAGCCCGAGCTGCAGTGGTACCACAAGGACACTCCCCTCCAGGAGCAGGACTACATCCGCACCATGATCCACGTGTCCACCGAGAACGAGGACCACGGCTGCCTGCAGCTGGTCAACCCCACGCACATCCACAACGGCGAGTACAAGCTGGTGGCAAAGAATAAGTACGGCCGGGATGAGAAGAAGGTCTCTGCCCAGTTCATCGACCCGCCCAAGATCAACCACACAGGTGTGTCTTTGTACATCCACTATGAAGGCAGCTGAAGGTAGTCTTTGAAGCTGACTGCTAACATGCTATTGTATTCTTTTCTTTTTTACAGACGAGGACTACTGTAAGTAACGAGTCATCTTTATAACACCAGTGGTTATACTTGGTAAAATACCTGGATACAAAGTTTGAAACTAACTCTGATGGTGTCCATCTATCTTTCCTGCTTCGCCCTGCGCCTCCATCTTCTGCGTAGACACCGGTAGGTACCTTCACAGATTTATCATATACTCTCATATCCAACAGTCAGCATTACAAAATATTTGCACTTGACATTGTTTTTAGTTTAACATGTTCAGATATGTATTTTCACAGTGTATTTTTTTCCAGACACGCCGCTCCCGCCGCTGGACGACAGTGTTGCAGTAAGTAAAACTAATCAGTGTTTGTCACCTAAAGTTTCCTGCTTAGTACAAATGTTTGCGATACATTTTTAGTTTGTTATTTTCATTTACTTCATTTCAGTCTCTTCTGATCATGTACATAATTTCATGACCCCTGAAAATGTAACCCTCCGAACCCCAAAACCTGCTGGTGGGTTTCAAAGACATGTTTGGAAAACAAACAAAAAGAATCCCCTGAATAACAGCATTTATCAGAATCTAAAACTATAGAAGCTGTCTCATATTTTTTTTTTAATTCCAAAAATAAAGCATTTGCCACAGATTCTATAAAAAAAAAAAACGTAAATATTCTGACTGACTCAGCTTTGAGTCAAGAAATTCGGAGACTTGTCGGCTGAACTGGGGGCAGTGTTTGCACAGAGCAGAGAGGAAACGACGAGACAGACTGAGAAGGGAAATAAAACATACTTGAATAAAGAAATAAATGCAGCACGGCTCAAAAACACGGTGAAATATCTTTCTGAAGTGGACGTACAGAGCAGTGTGAAAAACACCTATTTTGTAGCGGCAGTAACCGTGTAAGTAAATATCTAAAGCATATGAAGCTGCCATTTTATTCCAGTATTGGCAACAGCTGTGGGGACTTTTGTTGAATGTAACTATTCAAGTTCTTTACATTTTTGCAGAATAAATAACCATCCATCCATCCATCCTTCCATCCATCATCTATACACCACTTAATCCTCACTGGGGTCGTGGGGGGCTGGAGTCTATCCCAGCAGACTCAGGGTGAAGGCAGGGGACACCCTGGACAGGTCACCAGTCTATCACAGGGCTACACTTACAGACAGACAACCAAGCACACTCACATTCACACCTACGGACAATTTAGAATCACCAATTAACCTCAACATGTTTTTGGACCTTGTGGGAGGAAGCCGGAGAACCCTGAGAGAACCCACGCTGGACGGGGAGAACATGCAAACTCCACGCAGAAAGATCCTGGGTGTCCTCACCAAGACGCGAACCAGCGACCTTCTTGCTGTGAGGCAACGATGCTAGCCACCTTGCAGCCCAATAAATAACCAAAGAAATTCAATGTTTTTATGATTTACATGGTAAATGGTTTGCACCTATATGGTGCCTTTCTACATTAGTGGCACTCACAGCCCTTTACAATGTGTTTCTCATTCACACATTCATACACCAGTGGCAGCAGAGCTTCCATCAGAATCGAACCGCCAACTTTTGTGATTAGAGGACAACCCGCTCTACCACCTTAGCCACAGCCGTCCATATTTATGCTGTCTTAACTACATCATACTACACAGAAGACATTTTCAGCTCTCTCTACCTCTAGTCATAGTTGTGATGTTTCCATAAAGGTGCTGGAATTTATATTACAGTGAAAAATGAACCTCGGTGAGTAAAAATGTGACAAGAGCCTAAAATGGCCAGAAACTGCTTGGGGTTCAGAGGGTTATTTGTGGCTCCCTAATGTTTTTTTTTCTCCTCTTTCTTTTCCTTCCCAGGTATACGTGGTTGTGGGAATCGCTGGAGTCGCCTTGACCGGCTGCGTTCTGATGGTGATCATTCTGAAATATGGAAGAAACTCCAAGTTTGGTATTAAAGGTGAACTCACTTTCTTAAATGAATGAATTGACATGTTGGGAACTATGTTTTTTCCTTACTTACAGTTAGATCAGTAGATCGACTGTCATATCTGTTAAATATGAAGCTACAGTCAGCAGATAAGCAGTTTATTGTGCAGACCCAGGCTCGCTGTTCGCCTTCGTTTTCAGTCTTTGTGCTACGTTAAGTTATAATCACCGACTGGTTTACATTTACCGTAGAGACATACATCAATGTTCTGACTCATGATAAGAAATACTTTCCTCAAATGATTCCTCTTTTTAAAATTACAGGTGTTGAGGTGGTGTTGAGTGTTTTACAACGTAATGTAACTGCATTTCTACAAAAATGTTTTAAATATTAATAACTTTAGTTGTATATGTATATGTACAGTTTATACCAGTTTATATAGCAAGTACAACTCAAAATACTTTCCATCAAAAAACACAATAAATAAAAATGACAAAATAAAACTAAAAGTGATTGTGAAGACAATAAAATATAGGACTCCATAAAGGTCTGATACAAGTAAAGGACATGAAACTACATCAATCAAATCAAAATCAAATCTAGGTTATTGTCATTTTGCTGTACATACACAGCAGTACAGGCAAGATGAGAGAGCGTTTCTTCAGGATCATTTAATTAGTAAGTTTTGCGGAATGCATGTCACACATAAAGTATTTTTTATGGTATTACTGAATCCAATGCACTGACCTCCAGCCGATGACACAGAATGCAGCATCTCTGTACGTCCGTGTTTGACTCTGGGGAACATTAAGAGACCAGAGTTAGAGGATATCGGAGCTCTCCAAGGGGCAGAACGAACCGACACGCCACGACAGTAATTTAAAAACTAAAACTTAAAATGAATCCTAAAACGAACGACAGGCCAATGAAAAGCCTTTAAAACTGTAGTAATGTGTTTTCAGTTTTAGTCAGAGGAGCGTTTATCATCAAATCTGTTGACAACTTCAACTCTTCTTGCTGTCTGTCCATAACTGATCTGCAAACAGTTCATGAAAGCATGAAAATGTGGAAAACATTTACTATTTCTCGCCTTTTAAATGTGTAGATTTTCTGCCTTTATCCATTTTATATTACTGTAAATTAAACATCTCGCAGCGTTTCAATTTAAATCTACAGACATCCTGTTGTGCTCTGGAAGACTGTAACTGGTGTCTCTGGACTTCATTTACAAATCGACAAAGAAGATTTTATAACTGACGAGTAAACAGTTCCTGAAGGCTTGATGAGACTGTTCAGCACGTTATCAAAGCCCTTCAGTGTGTCGTCAAGCATCCATTTACATTCATACATGCTTGTGGATGCTTCAGTAGATCAGTGATATTAGACAAACAGAGTAATAAAACCTTTACAATGTCCTTATGCCTGTTGTATTAAGTGACTATGGAGCATTTTTGAGGATGTTAAAAGCAGGCATTAGTGCTGACTCAGAGCTCCGTGCAGCTTCCACTGTGTCGGTATAGAAACGACTACAGGAATTTGTGAGTCATGCTTTCATGTTGTTCAGGATGTCACCTGCCTGTGATCATCTGATGTCTTTTATACGACCTGGAATCCCTCTATCTGTCTCTTTTCTCTTCCTCTGTTATGACCAACACCCTGCTCTTCTTCTTCTCTTGTCTCTCCTGCTTCTATTTCCTCCTCCTCCTCCTCCTCCTCCTGTGTGCCTCCCTAGGCTCCTCCTCTGTCATCAGTAATGACGATGACTCTGCCAGCCCTCTTCATCACGTCTCCAATGGCAACAACACCCCGTCGTCCTCGGAGATGGGTCCAGACGCAGTGATCATTGGGATGACAAAGATTCCCGTCATTGAGAACCCACAGTACTTCCGCAACTCCGGCAGCATGCTGAAATCTGACACATGTGAGTTACCGCCTCGCTCGACAGACGCCGGGTAACCTGCACCTTTTCTGATAAATCCATGCAGGGATCACTGCGAGGCGCCGTATTTGTTGTCAGCATCCTGCTGCATTGTGATCGTGACTCCTGCTCTGCTGGACAGCTAGCCCACAGAGGATGTGCGGAATTGCAAGCTCAGCGAAGTTTATTATAAAATTTTGATTTGTGCTCAATTAGTCGATTGATTAGAAAAAAATAACCCACAGTTTCAAAGTCCTGTGTCTATTTCAAGCTTTTTAGCCCTATTCAGGACTTTCATGTTGCCATACGTAGAAGGTCCTTCAGGTTCCATTGGACCCCAAGAATGAATATGTGCAAAAAAATATTTGTTGGTATTCATTATAGAGTTTTATACTATGTTAAATACATTTTCTGATAAGTTGATGTATTTTTGTGCATGACAACTGTCCCTGTTTTTATATTTAAAAAAAAATCTTCAAAAATAAAAAAAACCAATACCTGTCACTTAAACCAAATGGCCTCAAAGACCCCAAACGTCCTGAAGAGGGTTAAATGAGTAGGTTTTCAGCTTTGATCCATTAAAATATCTCTCAGTTTTGGACTTTTCATCCGACAAATCCTACAATCTAAAGACATAACCTTGTGACCGGTATTTCTGGATATCTGACACAAACTCACAATGAAGATATGACTCAGGGGCTTGAATTTGAGCTGCATACCTATGATATAGTTCAACCTAATTCCAGTGAAGTCAATGCACAGTTAACATGCATCAAATATCCCCTTCATGCACACATGACCTTGAGACTGATTTGACCTATTCTGCACTACAGTCGTCCAGCACATCAAGAGACACAACATCGTCCTGAAGCGGGAGTTGGGAGAGGGAGCCTTCGGAAAGGTCTTTCTTGCTGAGTGCTACAACCTGACACCGGACCAGGAGAAGCTCCATGTGGCGGTCAAGGTACAGATCAGGAAACCGATCGCTTCACATAATCAATGCGCTCATCGTTCAGTTCGTTCTTCTATTGATTACATTAATGTTCTGGTGCTTCTTACCGTCTGTCCCTCGTCCTCATGTCCTTGTCTCTGGTCAGACCCTGAAGGAGGCCAGTGAGAGCGGCCGAGCAGACTTCTACAGAGAGGCCGAGCTCCTCACCAACCTGCAGCATGAACACATCGTCACCTTCTACGGAGTGTGTGTGGAGAGCGACCCGCTCATCATGGTGTTTGAGTACATGAAGCACGGCGACCTGAACAAGTTCCTCAGGTGGGATCCTGTTCCCTGTAATAAATAGTCAAATAAATAAAATATACACCAATTATCTTTGTTATCAAAAGTTTGAAACTTCTGTCATAGCTGAATGTTTAATCCTCTCAACCCCCACAACCTGTAGGTGGGACTGAAAGGCATGTTATTAAAAAAAATAAATAAATTCATGAAATCACAGACATTACATCATTTATCAGAGCCAGAAACTGTAAAAACATAAATAATTACTGGATTTTTAACTTTCAGATTGCTGTTAAACTGTGCTTTCAGGGAAATGATCCAAATCGCAGCTTTAAAAACATTTAATCAGAATCACTTGTTCTACAGGTAATAAACATAAGTTTGCACATAAGCCACTGCAAAACCACAACTTATCACCTCTGCACTGTTTTGTTTTCTTATACTGACTAAACAAACAAAATTTAACATGTTAGCTTTAAAGGTGAAGGAAGGTGGAGTTTGTTCCTCCATGTTTCCAGTCTGGAGTTTGCATGTTCTCTCCGTGCAGTGTGGGTTCTCTCCGGGTTCTCCGGCTTCCTCTCACACAGTCCAAAAACATGTTGAGGTTAATTGGTGATTCTAAATTGTCCGTAGGTGTGAATGTGAGTGTGCTTGGTTGTCTGTCTCTAAGTGTAGCCCTGTGATAGACTGGTGACCTGTCCAGGGTGTCTCCTGCCTTCGCCCTGAGTCAGCTGGGATAGACTCCAGCCTCCTGTGACCCTAGTGAGGATTAAGTGGTGTATAGATAATGGATGGATGGATGTTTCCAATCTTGAGCTAAGCTAAGCTAACCCTCCTGTAGCTGAGAGATAACAGAGATACTGTGTGTACTTTGCATGGAGGGAGGTCTGAGTGATCTTATGACATGTTCTGTGAGATGCTAGAATTTTCATAAAATATTTCTACAGAGGTAGCCATCTATTCAATGTAGCACGCTGAATCAGTGTTACAAATCTGTCATTAGGTCTTTTTATTATCAAAACTGAATTGATTCTTGGGATTTTTGCTTAAATCTTATTTTTTAGGTGTTTAATTGACTTGGTTTACCCACCAGTATCCCCATCTGGATACGTTATTTACAAATTATTTCAATGAATGTGCAACTGAAATGAGTAATCGATTAATTAATCAACAGAAAATTAATCAACAATAATTTTGGTTGCCAGACGTTCAGAGGTTTCAGCTTTTCAAAAGTGATTTTGGTGTTTTTTTTATAGTCTTACAGCACATGATGTAAGTTTGTGACAAAGCAGCTTCACTGAAGTCATCATGTCGTGACTGAAATTTATTTATTTTTGTTAATTTACAGATTACATTTATTAGTGATTGAGAAAGTTATCTGTTTATTGGTTGTTGTTGTTTTTCTCTCTGAAAATGCGAGGAGCTATGGGAAATAGCAATAATAATTTATCAGAGCAGGGTTACGGCTCACACATGTCATCTGGCCAATAGTCCACAACCCAAAGCTATTTAGTTTACTATCAAATATAACAAAGAAAAGCAAATAACTGAGTGATTGGAACAAATGTTTGGCATTGTGATGTCAAAAAAAAAGAAAAAAAGAAAGCTGATTATCCAAATATTTGCAAATATTTTTTTTGTTCATCTCTCAGCTCTAAGTCAAACTTTACAGTGTCATAATGTGATATCACACTCACGACAGAATTAATAGAAATAACAGCAGAGGGCTGCTTATGGTAGTTTTAAATTCTGCTGCAGGTTTATTTTCTAACCTACCCACTGGTTTCTGGGTGCAGGTCCCACGGTCCTGATGCAGTGCTCATGGCAGACGGTCAACACAGCATCCTGGTGGAGCTCACCCAGTCCCAGATGCTGCACATTGCCCAACAGATTGCTGCTGGCATGGTCTACCTGGCCTCCCAGCACTTTGTCCACAGAGACCTGGCAACAAGGAACTGCCTGGTAGGAGAAAACCTGCTGGTCAAGATAGGAGACTTTGGCATGTCCAGAGATGTTTACAGCACAGACTACTACAGAGTGAGTATTTTAGATCGTTTTCCCCATTCCTCACCTCATTTCGCTCCCAGTCGCTTACTCACATGGATGCACGTTCATGCACACTCACAACCTTTTTGATATGTATATACACAGGAATATGGAAATGTTCGCTCATACGCATAAATGTGTAATTAGAATTTTATTCCAGTTTGGGTCTGAAATAACTGTGTAGCTGCAGAAATGACCATTTTAACCAGAGGTATTTTATCTATTTTTAATACCATTTAAATGCAAATTCTATAATCTGCATAAAATTACTGTTTCCATGGTAATGAGGGCCAACAGTGCTAAAAATGCATGGGCAGTTTTCCTTTTTCCCTAGGCAAGGTGTTAATACGTCCCTTCACTCGACAGGAACAGCATCACATTTAACCACATCTTATGTTACGGTATGCTGTATGTAGAGACCCACTGATGAAGGTTACATTCACATAAACGCTTGACGTTACAATACAGGTCAATGAAACCAAATAATAACATTTGTTATGTTGAGAAGAAGATGGATTCATTTTGTTTCCTCAGTCGTTGTGTCTTAGATCCCAGCTTGAATCCCACAGTGCCCTCTGCTGCCCGAAGTGGAGTCAGAAATCCAAACAGGAAACACGTCTAAGATGCGTTCGCCTGCATCTGATAAGATCACATTAAAGAGGGCCTGTCGCCAACTCCTCATATCAGACGTTTTTTATCAAATGGAAGGCAAATGCGTCAGCGATCTGTCTAATCTGCTGCAATGCTGCTCTCGTTTTAAGGAGATCATGTTATACAGTAAATTAGATCAAATAGGAAAATAAAAATAGCATTTAACTCACCGCTAGGCATGAGTGAACCGAGCACTAGAATTTCATATTTATGCGCCATTGTCGATCTGCAGTTTACAAAATCGGCCAGTGGATGATGTATGATGGATATCCAGGTGGAAAGTTGCACATACTCTTGTGGCCATCTGTTGTTTTATTCAATGCAATAATATCAGTAAATAAACTTAAAAACCTCTCTACACATGCTAAACAGCACCTCAAACTCCATCCTCCAAAAAGATCACATAGTTGAGCGACACCTCCCTAAAACAGAACTCGTGTTTACCAAATTTAAGACATGCTTTCTGATCATTTGTCTAAAACAAATCAATAAAAACCCGTATGTTTGTCAGTACGCTGCAGTAGCAGAAAACAATGTCAGTCAGGTAAATCAGTGACCAGTGATCAACAGAAAATTAACTGCAACAGTTTCACTTGTGCCAAAAATTTGATAGTTCCAGCGTCTCAGATGTAAGAATTCGCTGTTTTTTTTCTCTTTCAACTGTTGTTTGGACAAAATAGGCCACCTGATGTCTGGTTGGGCTCTGAATAGGGATCGACCGATTATTTGCCTGGCCGATATTTGGCATTTTTCCGATCCGATTATTGATAAATTAACTGCACTACTTCCGTTCCGATGCAGCCTCCCCTCTCTGTTTGTCGTCACTCTGTGGTCTCAGAAATGTCAGGACATTAGCTTCTCTCACGGTGGCTAAGGCTACGCTAGCGGCTAGCGGCTAAGTTAGAAGGCAGACACAGATTACCCTGAAACAGATTCTGGAAAACAATAACTAATAATGCTTTAAGATATGGACTTTAGTTGACAATAAAAGTGGCAGAAAGATTAGGAATATAGAGAAGAACTGATCAGCCAGTTGGCCTTTATTATTGAAGAAGTCTAGTTATGAATAACAGGTTCTTTGTTATCAACGTACTGTTAAAACATTACATTTAATGTCTATTGGTTCAAAACAATACCGGTTATCGGCCTTTCTTGACCACTATTGATCGTCATCGGTATCTTCCCTAAAAAACAAACAAAAAACCCCATAATGGTCGATCCCTGGCTCTGAAGTTGTGTCACTGATGTGCAAACGATTAACTGATAACAAAAATAATCCTTAACTGCAGCCCTAAAAGGAATAAATCCTGCTAATCTCATTATTTAAACATTAAATATCACCTGTAAACAAGATAAATAGAAGAAAAATGGTGGACGAATCAATTTGATGGACAAATTAGCTGATTAAAACATAACTAATTAATGCCAGGTCCACATATGAAATTTACAAAAAGAACAATCTTTACTATAATCAAACGCAAGAACATTTTATAACTCATGCTGCTCCCTGAGATAATATTTCAGACCTCTTGATTACTTTTAAAGCCCAACTTGAAGTAACAGAAATCATTTTAAAGACCTACAGATCCACTTGTGAACATTAGATGTGGCCGTTGTACCGGACCGCATTAGTTGTAACTAAACTGGACCTGAGTGACGTCTCAGCTGTGTGAGCAGGCAGCAGCTGTTTTAATACTTCCCCACCGTCATACGGGTGTTAAATAAATGTTATGCCGCTGCTCTGAGGTCTTAAGTTACACATTATTCAGAGGTCCCTCATGCATGTAAATAGGGAGGACAACAGAACAAAACCCCTAATATCCTGCAGTCAGTAAAACACCGTCTTTAACTGTCACAACAGAGATAAACAGTACACATTTACTTAACATCACAAAGGCAGAATTTATGCCACTGATTGGTAAAAGATCATGATAAAGCAGCCACTGAGTGACAATAGTGTCGTACAGTAACGAGACTAAAAGGACGACAGTCATGTTTGAAGACTCTGCAGAGGCTCAGTGGTGCTTTGAGCTCATTTTGACGCGCTAATAATAACAATGCTAACATGTTCAGCCGTGTCTTAGTTGAACCCGTCAGTCTGCCAACATTTGATTATCAGCACTAAACCATGTCCAGCTGTTGGGTATTTAGTTATGAGACCCTGTTGTGGGTCTTCAATACTTCGCATCCAACACTCATCAAGATATTTCACTCAAAGCCACAAATGTAAACTTGATGGTGGCAGAAGAGGAAAAGTCAGATGTATCACCAAAGTTGATCAAGTGTCCGTACAGAACTTCAAACACAGCTGTTTTTGAGGTGTTTCAGGAAAGATGGATGCAGCCACCCTCACACGTTGGTTTGTGGACTGCTGTTTTGAGGCCTCGAGTTTGGAATTGGGTCGTCACTATCTAGGTCTTTCGATAACCAACAAGTGAGGGTTGGTTTTGCCTCAGAACTTGAGGAGTCGATGCACATGGAAGCGACCTGCAGCCCTGCTCTATAGCATGCCCTGCTTTATCGTGTATTCTCCTCCAGATGGGAGCTGAATTTACCAAATGAGCACCATGCTGCATTGAGGGGGACTTAAATCTACCAACTGACACCATAAATGCATTAGGAAAACGTTCACTGATGTAACAAATCAAAGGGTAATTTTTTCATAGACGTCTATACAATCTGACTTCCTTTTGCGCACAGATGAGTCGCCCCCTGCTGGCTGATAGAAAGAATGCAAGGCTTCACTTCAGACTGAGAAGCTGCATCCATCTTTTACAGTCATTATATAAACCACTAACAAAACTCATCTCTGTGTATCAAACTTATACATTTAGATGTTTTTTCATGAAAATAATCCCTTAGATGCCTTAAAATGACGTGACTTGCTGCAGCTCAAACACACCAGCTCACAGAAACTGATTCTGAAGAAGAATAATGATACAGAAAGTCCCACCCTGCAATCTGACAGGATTGTTTTTCTTTATAGGTTTGCTATGTACACCGTTGCTCATAAAGTTGGAATAATTTTTGTTTTTCAGACACATTCCTCTTTTTTATTTCTATTTAGACACATCATTAATCACTTTGACCAGGTGTAATGACTGAGTCCCCAGTTACCAGGTGAAACGAATTCTGACTTTGGGATCTGACTGAAGAGTGGGACACCCTGCCCATTGACACCATCAACCAGCTTGTGGACAGTATGCCACGATGCGCATTGATTCATGTCAGGGGTGGCCTGACTCAATATTAGTGACTGAGTTACATGAGAAAGAGTGATATTGGACATTCTAATGCATAAAATCCACTCGAATATGTGTTTCCTGTTAAAAGGAAGAAGGTTGAAAAATTGAAACAAAACCCTTGATCCTATTGCTCTATACCCCAAAGTTTGTTTAAGCCTGAATACACAGTTTGCAAAATTGTGGTTTCGTTTTTACGGTGATATGTATTATATGTATGTTGTGAAATCAATGAAGTTTTGAGAAGACATACTCTTTATCTATCAAGAATATATCACATTGTCACAATCATTCCATGAGAAGAGGTAATAAAATGTTTAATTCTAACTTTATGGGCAACAGTGTATAAAACCCTGGAAGTCTGAATCCGTGTGTTTGAGACAGTGTGTCATGAGTTCACTGCAGCTTTAACGTGGAAATGCTCAGGTGTGGCGTACTGCGCTCATGATGTGTCTTTTAGCATATAAAAAAACAGCACATGGACACGCTAACTACAAAACACTCACCTTCAGCAGGCCTCGTGGTGTTGCTCTCTCACGGTTGCCGTCCTCTCCTTGCAGGTGGGCGGCCATACGATGCTGCCGATTCGCTGGATGCCCCCAGAGAGCATCATGTACCGGCGGTTCACCACAGAGAGTGACGTGTGGAGCCTCGGCGTGGTGCTGTGGGAGATCTTCACCTACGGCAAGCAGCCGTGGTACCAGCTCTCCAACAATGAGGTCAGAGACACATTTGCGTCCGTCCCACTCAGAGTTACAGTCATACAGACGTGTTGAGGCATTTCACCACGAATCACTTGTTATGGAAAAAGTCTGATATTAATGGAAACATTCTGGTCAATCAGAGCTTTCTAATTATCTAAACAAACACATATAAAGATTCACATTTTAACAGAGAGCAAGTCATCAAAGTTTAAGCCAGTCAGTAGAAAAAGTTTGACCATAAATGTTACAGGAAACATTTTTGTCCATAATTAACACAATATTTATCTAATCCATTATTTCACTAGTTAACTAGGTGAAGTAACAGAAGTAATATTAACTTAATTCAATTACTTTGATATGTGGTTCATTTTATTCATTTACAGTAGCTTGATGGACGTAGTTTAATAATCCTGATGTTGACAATATGAAATATTTCAGAAATTATTCATTAAACATCAAGTTTGCCGATCATGAGGACACAACTTGTAAAAACACTCTTTAGGGACACTAGAGGAGTTTTGTGAAGCCACAGAAAATATGGAAAAGTCTCACCAACAAGGTTAAACGATCAGTGTTGACTGTGCAAAGATCAAAATACTGACACTGTAACACATCATGTCAATACTGTGTCCTTTAAATGTGGGTTTAATTACACTGAACTATGGTCTCCAAATGATGGATCAACTGCTTCTATTTTAAAAAGTACTTTTCCGTTTTTACACTTTTTACAAGTTGCAAAACCCCATGATAAATATAGCAAAGACTTATAGAATACGCTACTGGTTGCATTATGGGAAATTTAGTATCTATTATTTTTGGAGATCAACCAGTGACTAAAAGCTGCACCACTGGCGCTTCAGTTTTGACCGTTTTAAGAACTTCACAGAGGAACAGTACTAAAGCACTTATGAGCATTGAAGTAGATAGTTGAATTTTGAAGCCTTTTAAAGGAAGAACATTTATTTCCTGCTGTTGCTAAAAGAAGCTTGATGAACAACCTGATGTAGAACTTGTTGCAGTCCGGCCTTCACATGGTAGATTCAGAGCTGACTGATACAATTTATGACCATCATCATTCTTCTCTGGTTTAATACTTTGGAAGAAACTCCTGTTTCAAAAAAAATATCTAGAAAAAGGCAAAACAGGCAAAAACACTACAAGGCATGTCTCTGGGATTAGATCACAAAGTCAACCTGCTTCTGTGTGTGTGTTAAATGTAAACATGAAAACTTCACTGAAACACACTACTGCCCAGCATGTAGTTGTCATAGAAATACAAATGTTGGACTGCACCTATAGACTCATACGAACTCAGCAAGATGACAAAATCCACGTTACATGGACCCTAGTGTCCTGGTGGATGAATAAAGTTTCCTTAAAATGTCTGCTAGTATCTGTTCTCCCACTTCTGATTCCTGCACGATGCAGCGAGACAGAGCATGAAACTCCGGTTTTTATAATCAGGCCAACAATTGAGAGCTTTTTAGAAGAAAATCTTTGCAGTATTTCAAATTGCATCGGCCTATTTGGATTCAAATTGAACTATACATTTTTTGAATGTACAAAGTCTCACAATTCAAACGGTGTAAGCAAGATACTAATATCACAACAACAATAGCTCCCTAGCTCTGAATGGGAATACATCCATCAATCCATTATCTATACACCACTTAATCCTCACTAGGGTCACGGGGGGCTGGAGTCTATCCCAGCTGACTCAGGGTGAAGGTAGGGGACACCCTGGACAGGTCACCAGTCTATCACAGGGCCTCACTTAGAGACAGACAACCAAGCACACTCACATTCACACCTACGGACAATTTAGAATCATCAATTAACCTCAACATGTTTTTGGATTGTGGGAGGAAGCTGGAGAACCCGGAGAGAACCCACGCTGCACGGGGAGAACATGCAAACTCCACACAGAAATACCCTGGGTGTCCTCACTGGGACACAAACTGGCGACCTTCTTGCTGCGAGGCAACGGTGCTAACCACCGCTCCACCTTGAAGCCCTAATGGGAATACATGCACATTCAAGCAACAGAATTATTTTGTTGTAAAGAGTCCCACCTGAGCTGAGAAGCTTTGAGTTGTTTCTAGTTTAAAGAACCTTTTACTACATTGTACTGAATCAGATCAAGTTCTTCCCTTCAGATTTCTATTTCCTGTATTCGTGTTGCCCTACAAATAACAAAAAAACCCAAACAAGTAGCATATTTAGTCCCTATTAGATAGTTACAGTAAAGACATGACAGCAGATGAGGGGAGTGAGAGATGTAGAGTGGACAAGGCTCATTTCTTGGACACGAATCTTGCATTTGTTTATCAAACGGTCTGAAATAACAGGAAACGAATAGATTTCTGCTGAATCGGGTGAAACTGGCTCACTGTGTTCACGGCACGTGGACGGATCATGCCTGCTGTCATTCGTAACCACACCCTTAAAGGCTCGTTCCACGCCAGAAAAAAAACAGGCATGGTTGGCGCTTTTATGCCACTGGGCCACCTCGACTTTTTATATCTACTGAGAAGAAAATGCTTTATTTTCAAAGTGATGCATGCTGAAACTATGTTCCTCCTCATGGTGTATGTTATTATGTGCCACTAGATAAATCATCGTCATGTGAGTATCGCAGGTAAACCATGTGCTGTATCCTGCAGGTGATCGAGTGCATCACGCAGGGCCGAGTGCTGCAGCGGCCTCGTACCTGCCCGAAAGAGGTGTACGACCTGATGCTGGGCTGCTGGCAGAGGGAGCCCTACATGAGGCTGAACATCAAGGAGATCCACAGCATGCTCCAGAGCCTGGCCAAGGCCTCACCTGTGTACCTGGACATACTGGGCTGACGTGTACCGTGTATGTACTCCGCGCGCATGTGTGCTTCGTATGTGGACAAGTGTTTGTGTGTTTCGACTGATGAGACGGAGAGGCGAGGCGTGGAGGAGGGAGTGAAGGCTGAGTGACTGCGTCTGTGTACAGAACTTGACTGTAAAATGTCACTGTAAATGCTACTGTCCGTGTCCTCATCACATCGAGAAAAGCCTTAAATTCTAAGTGATTACTGTTTGGGTTTTTTTTTTCCTTTTTCTTTTATGGGTTTGCAGACGTAACTGGGGCATGTTTTCACAAATGGAAACCAAAACACATACAGGATTATGTAACTTTATCCCAACCATTAACACTCCAGACATACACTGTACGTTAAACGGCGTAAAAATAAACGAGACAGCTTATTCTGTCGACACTACTCATATATCATCCCGCTGGGAATGAGCAAAGGAAATATAATGTGCGTCTCCATGATGGACAGTATGTGGCTACATCTTTGTAGATAAATCTTTTTTTTTTCCCGTTTGCACATATTAAGATAAAATTAATTTACGGCTGAAGCTTTTTCTTTAATACGTCACAGACTATTTTAATATTTGTAGAATTTATAAACGCTGACTCTGCTCCAAACCAGTTGATTTAAATCTGTGGCTTTGGAGTCATTTACAGAAATGTGTATATGATTATAAAAAGTAAAAACCCCTGTAGATTCTAATAGACGCCTGGTATGTATAACTGAGAGACTTCCCAGTGTAGAATCAGTGTTGAAAACACAAGGGCATACAGCGTCTTAAGTAGTTTTTTTTTAAATACCATTGATCATATCTTCTGTAAATATCTCCTGATATGTTACACATCTATAATTCAGACATGTTTTAAACGTTGTTGCAGCCCTCTGCTCATCTGACGTATCTAAAGCACAGAGAACTTGGCCGCGCATTTCTGTTTTCCTTTTTTTTTTTTGTCATTCACCAGCAAAGCCATTCAGCAAACCTTTGTTGTTCGGTGGCCCATATCTGTAAGTGACGTGGTTCGTATGCATCTGTGGGCAGGTTGCGGCTGCCGTGTTCATGGTATGGACAGAGAGGGAATTTTGATTAAGAGGGTTTCTTTGTTTTCTGCACTTTTGTATGCATCGAAGCTGCTACCTGTTTATCTGTTATTTAGTTACATTACAAGAGCGTACTTTGAAGATCTGATCGTTAATTCTACATAGTGGGCTATGAGAGTGCAGTAAAAGGATTAATTACGAGCCCTTGAAGTGTCCCGGGGGTGCTTTCATCTCTCCTTGCAGCCCCACTCAGCCCTGGCGGTGGGGCTTCTCATCCACGTGCACGGGCGGTTCAAATGGTTTTCAAATGCACTCTTGTAATAACTCTGATAGGTTTGTTTTCCTGAGATTAAAAAAAAAGGCAAAAATATAAAGCATATATATAATATAGGCAGACTTCTGTGATGATCTTTGCATAAATAGCAGCAATCACTCCCTCACATGAACCATCATGTTTTTCCATATGGAGGCGTAAAACAGCGAAGTTATATTGGTTAAGTGCACTTTGTAGCGTTACTAAATGCACAACCTGAGCAGCTGTGCTCAGCACTGAACACCTTCCATCTCGAACTCAGCTGCACCTACTAACAAAAAAAATAAAAAAAATCACCCTTGCTCTGCTGGCCGCGACCGAACTCTGAACCTCTGTCCCCGATGAAAACAAATTTCTGTGTCCCTCTATGTTTTTATTACAGCGTTCTGTATAAAAGTCACTTGTCTGCTGTACATACACTGCTGTCCATTCTGTACAGTTCTGATATTTGTCTATATGAACAGTAGGCTATGTTTAATAGTATAATCCGTTTTAAGCAGGTATCATGTCAAAACTGTGTGACATCTATTGAAGACAACGTGTTATGGGCCACTGGCAATACATACTATATGTAAATACGATTTTATTTGTGCTACATTGTATAATTTCTTTGTGCTCGTTCATAATACCAGTGAGAATACAATCCTTTTTTGGGCAACTTTTGATCTGCAGAGGACTT